TATGTTTTAGGACTGTCTAGTTGCTGGTAAAGTCTCTCCAACAATAGTAAGATTGCGTCCTCCGTACTTCTGGCAGGTTTATAACAAATCTATTTATGTACACTCGACAAATCCAGATGTATGGCTTGTAATGATTGAGTGTCACAAAACATCCGAGAAATGTCGGCGACGAACATGAACACAATGGCTGGTGAGCCTCTTGTCGCGTTTTACCTGTAAAATGTGTTGCTCGATTATTCAAATGATTGCATATTACCACAAAATTCTCACCGAAAATGCGAATGCTTTTACATTTTGTGAATCCTCGAGTTTCACAGACCTGTGTGCTCTAGCGAACAAATTTAATGGAAGCTTTGACTGTCCCAATGGCATTAAGCACTTGGACAACTGAATCAAAATTATTAACCACCAGATTGAGCCGATGCCCCGAGCAAGGAGCAAAAGCTGATTTTAGTCAAATCTCGCGTGATGATAGTCTGAACACCGCCTTCCTCTGCTGACATGGAGGAACAGCCGTCATATTATCCTTGTCCACGTAATCTTGTCATGTCCAGGCCACATTGATCGCAATGATTCATTGCTGTCATTTGCTTCAGTGCCTGGAATCCGATAAATTCTTCACAAATTATAAAATACTCTCTACGTTGTCAACAAAACGTATCGCCAACGACAACTGTTCTGTTCCTGATACATCAGCCGTTTGATCGGCTAATCTTGAAACTACTGCAGATTATTTTACTGATGTAATAATTTGTTGTTTTTTTTTTAAATTACTTCCTCATATACCTGTATGACGCCATTACATATCTCTATCGGTAAATTTTGGATAATGTGAGAATTATATCGAGCATTACCAACGGACGTATGTAAATGTATCTCCAGTTCTTTGTCGCCAACCCCCAGTCTAAACTGTAACAGATCATGAACATCACCACTTTCACAATTTTTGCAACGAAGTGCGGTGTCGTGGGTTATACAAATAACGATTGTGGAAAATATCGGTAAAAGCTTATTTCGTTTTTCTAAAATCTTATTAGAAATAGACTTGTCTATCTGACATAGGATGTGTCGGTTTGGATTCCTTATGATGCCCAAGAATGCTTTCGCATCCTGCTGAGCACCTTTGTGCCACTCCCTTTCCACATGATTACGAGCACCTTGAGGAAAGTCGTTGTACTTAGTGAAAGATGTTGCTAGAAATTCCACTTGGTAACCGCGATGAATGGGTTGCGGTAAAACTGGCAAGCCATGGAGAAGACTGATCAAGTCATGGAGAAGACTGATCAAGTCATGGAGAAGACTGATCAAGTCATGGAGAAGACTGATCAAGTCATGGAGAAGACTGATCAAGTCATGGAGAAGACTGATCAAGCTAGACATACCGAAAATAACGGTTTTTTTTTGCCATGTCTATCCTCACTGAAATTGTAACTTTCTATTGATCGGTATGGGTTTGTGAGTAAACGATATTTTAAAACATCTGACAGTTGAGATATGACTGAATCATCATCATCATCATGTCCCTTAGTCCTTGGACCGTTGGGGGCGCCACAGATGACATGAAAACTATCCTCCTCCATTCGTCTCTGTTTTCTGCACTTCGCACACTGACTGAATACATCGACCTAAATCAAATCATCGATTGCCTTATCACAGCCAAAATTATTATGTGTTGATATTTCAGTGTCAAATTTGAGTGATGTCGATAATTATGAATCGCAGCTGTGCGAGAACCACTGGCAGCAACTTCAAACTCATGCGAGTGTGCAATGGTCAGGTCACGACTTTTAGTTTGTTCATCATCGTGTTGGTCCTCTCATGTAAATGTCATTGATGTGACACAGTTGTTAAGTTACAATCCTTACACTCATCATCATCACATGACTTCTTTTGCCATTTGAGAAAATCACATATATATATAATCACATATATATATATATATATATAAATACTATAATTTATTTTTAAATAAGCTATTTGTATCCTGCACAGAAGGGAACATTGCTTCGTTTATATCATGTACATATGTGATAATTGTCTCGTTTATATCCTGTACAGAAGGCAACATTGCCTCGTTTATATCCTTTAAAGAAAGGAACATTGCCTCGTTTATATCCTGTAAAGAAGGGAACATTTTCTCGTTTATATCATGTACAGAAGGAATTATTGCCTCGTGTATCTCCTGTACAGAAGGAACCTTGCCTTGTTTATATCCTGTACAGAAGAGAAAATTGACTCATTTATATCCTATACAGAAGGGAACATTGACTCGTTTATATCCTAGACAGTAGGGAACATTGCCTCCTTTATATCCAGTACAGAAAGGAGCATAGTCTCGTTTATATCCATTACAGAATGGAACATTCTCTCTTTTATATCCTATACAGATAGGAGCATTGTCTCGTTTATAGCCTGCACAGATGGGAACATTGCCTCTTTTTTATCCTTTAAAGAAAGGAACATTGCCTTGTTTATATATTGTAAAGAAGGGAACATTGCCTCGTTTATATCCTGCACAGATGGGAACATTGTCTAGTTTATATCCTGTACAGAAGAGAACATTGCCTCGTTTGTAACCTGTACAGATTCGAACATTGCCTCTTTTGCATCCTGCAAAGAAGGGAACATTGCCTCGTTTTTATTTTGCACAGAAGGGAACATTTCCGTGTTTGCTTCTCTTACGTGTCTCTTCCATGGTAAAAGTGTGTACGTGTGGGGGTTTGTCATTACCATGGGCGCCCGCAGAAAACTTTCTAGGGGGGGGGGAGGGGGAAATCGATTAACTTTCTAGGGGGGGGGGGGCAAAAATTTTTTTAGTAATTTTTAATGTAGTTTTAATTTACTGTAGCCTGTTTGTATAGTGAACGAACGGACAGGACATCAGCCTAGTTACTTTCTCTTTATTTTCTCTTTACTTTAATAATTTTTTGTCATTTTTGTCTAAAAAATTTGTATCCAATCAATCCAGGGCGCCCATGGTCATTACCCATAATTTTTCAGTCGACGTAAGAATATTTTCTTTGTTTCCTTGAAACTTATATTGACAGTGTTAAAGTCAAAAAGAGCAGTGTACTATTTTAGCACAACTGTAAGGTTGCGACAAAAACGTCGTTAAAATTCTACCTCTTCAAAGGCAGAAACGTTTTAAATTTGATATCACAATCGGGAGAAACGATTTTTATAAATGTTGATCAAATAACATTTAAAAATTTTAAAGTTTTATTCTTGATATTCGATTCTTATTTTATTCTTACTTTACAATTTTTGTTTATTAATTTGAGTTAACTATTGTTTGTTGTTTATTATTTTTTCGGTACAAGATATTGAAAAACAATCGTTATTTAAAGTAATGATTATATGATCAGAGTCTTGTTTTCCAACTATGGTTGCAAGTTTATTTTGGTTTAACGGGAAAATCGAGGATAAAGTCTCAATTTAATGGAATGGAAATTTTAATATCCTACTAGTCAAAATTGTGCCTTGAACATTTGCGTTGCGTCTATTGCCTCATGCCTTCCACCCCCCCCCCCCCCCCCCCCCTCCCTCCCCCCCCCCCCCCCCCCCAGTTCCTGATGCCCTTGCTGAGTGTCCCTTGCAACCAGTGAAATATCATATTCAATACCTTGGACAGTAACATCACGAATCCCCTCTTAAATAGGAGCCAGAATGAGTAATAGCCTACATTGATCGTGGGCCCTTGAGATGAAGAAAAAGCTCTTTATTAAAGTTTTTAATAATGTGGCCCCAGCAGACTCACTGCACTCATAGGAACATTTAAAACAAACAAAACAAAACAAAAAACATGTACATTTTTTACATTATCTTTATTGGCACACCATTATGGCATTATGGCCCTGGAGCATACGTCATAATATATTTCAACGTCACTTAATGTAGGCCTATAACTATAAAGTATACATTAATAATAATCACATTGTAACTTAATATATATCTACTTAATATTGAATTTGACACACACTACTTAAATTCAATTTTAAAATTTGTTTCAATAAAAAATAAATCCATAAAACAATAGAAGGTATTAAAAGTCAGAATGAACAGATCGTAGATGGTTTTGCACATCGGAGAGGGTGGAGACAAATTATTTTCTCAATGAACGTACTGTGTGAAAGATAAATGTGTAAAAAAAAGTGATTGTATGGTTTGAATGACGAAAGAGTGAATTTAAGGTCTAACTAAACATTAAAATATAGAGTGCCTATAACTACATTTTACTCCAGTAATCAGTAGTTGAAAACATTTCGGATGTTATCTGGGCCATTTAGGTAGCTAGAGTTAAACTTTTTTAAAAGCTATAGGCCTAATTTATTTGAAAATGAATATTTTAAACTTATGGATATTAATCATTATATACAATAATATATATGTACAACTTAATTTTCTGTAATACGTGAGTCTTTATTTTTATTTAATGTAATATTAATATTATTTAATGTTTAGTTTTGCTGATTTCACCAAATATACAATTTTTATAACAAAATATTTAAAAATAAGATTATCAGTCAGTAGGCCTTTGCTGTAGGCAATTCATACACAAACTGTGCTATTTATAAATTTTAAATCGCAGTAATAGTTTTTTTTCGTACATAATGAATGCAAGAGGGGTGAATCGGGAGATTTAAAAAAAATCCTACTCTGAAATAGAAATGGAGGATAAAAGCTCGTTGTCTTGGCAACGAAGAGTTATCTCGTTTTGATCCTTAAAAGCATCAGCAACACTGTCCTATATTTGGCTGTTCCAAGTACTGTTGCGTTGTCGGTTACAATACAACCAACATAATATTCATTGCTCTTAATTTTATTTAAAACATATAAACTATGCATCTGCGCGTAAAAAAAACTTTTTCTTTAATCTTGTGACTTTGCATTCATTTTTATTAGCGTCTAATTGTTCTAAAGCGATAATTATTTTTGAACATTTTATAAACGGAACGTCAATGTATCTATCGGCTGCAGTAGCGTGATCACGTGGTTTATTACTTCCGTTTACAGAGCATCGTGCATCCCTCATCTTTTGGCTAGTGTCCATAACATTTAATGTAAGTTGATAAGTTATTTTTAAGTTTGTAAATTGTTTATCGCCTAATATTTTCAGTTATAAGTATATTATTGTATAAAATTGCATTAATTTATAGCATTTAAAATAAATAATTAATGTTATTCTTTTATTTGTAAATAATCACAATAAAAAACAAGACTATCGCGGGAAAATGACGTTCTGGCTGGACGGATTCTATATGTCCAGCTCAAGATAGAATATATAATAGAATTGTTACATTAAAGTTGATTTAATATCCGAGTCATGTATTTTAAAGCAAGATATTTACAGCTTATTAGATTATTTGGTGTATTGTTTTTTATTTTAACACCAAACGGGGTATCTTTTCTTTGTTTACACTGACTACGATGATTCAATATGGCGTCCTATCTTTATTCCTCCTCTCTTCTGTTGTGATTATTTGCATCACGATGAGTCGACATTTGAGAATAATAAATAATATTGTTTTAAATTACTCTTGTAAGCTTATGTTATTTTGGCTATACAATTTATATTTACCCTGGCCTATAAAAATGTTTTTATTAATAAATTATATTTAATAACACTTTTATAATTATAAAATTTAAAAACTGAATGAAAAGCAAAGCTTAGGCCAGGCCCTATTATTTATTATTTACTGGTAGTGTAGCATGGCTAGGCCTGTTTAGTCCTAGTTATAGGAGTTAGCTTCTCCTTCTTATCTACCGTATGTCTATCATAGTCTATAGTCTACGTATGACATATTAAGTCATATTAACAATTGAAAAATGCCTACTTTAGAAGTAGTTGACATCGGCATAGGCTAATAATTTAACTAATAATACTAAAAGTTCAATCTAAAATTAAAATAAATCAAGTGATAAGCCTACCATTGACCATGGCCACGGTTAAAAATAAATGGAAGATAACTAGCTGGGATGAGTGTCTTACTTATTAATACTTGTCCATACTCCATAGCCTAGACGACTAGTAGGGCTAGTTATATTGCCAATAGATGCTATAGACATAGGTTATTAGCTTGTCACGTATCACTTAGTCTAGTCTATATTTTGTCTCTCATAAAAATAAATGTTCTTTTTTTTATAAAATGTAAAACTAACATATAAATCTTCTGAGGTAGTCCTAGCTCCCATATTCCATTTTTTTTTGTTGGCGTTGAATCTTAAAATGAAGCCAGTGTATTTTTCTTTTAGACAAGCATTTTTTGTTTCCAGGCTGTGTACTGTTCCTGTGAATATTTATGTCATTCTCATAATTTCTCTGGTATCCTTGATGAAATTATCAGTAACACTCATCAGCACATACTGGAAACAAAACATTCTTTGATTCTTTTGCCATATGAAAAATCTTTTATTCTTTAACACATTTTTGTTTGCATTTATGAATGAAATTAACAAATCTTTTTAAAACAGATGCTGTTTCTTGTACTGTGCAAAACTGTTACAGTAGTCTAGAAATTCTTTTTAAAGAAAGCGTGACTAATCTGATATAGGCTTCAAACATGAATGATTCAGGTATGTTTACAATTCTTGATTATTAGCATTTAAGATAATACTTTTGTCTTTCAAATTTATATTTAAATATTTTATATTATTTAAACCTCTTGGAGACAGCTGGTCAAATCTATATGCCCATATTGTTATGATGATAAAGAAAAAAGGCTGATCTATGGCAGGGGCCCAATAATAAAAGCCTTGAGACTGGCTGGCTGTTCTTCGTAACAGCTAATCAGCTTGCTTCTCGCATTTCTTGCTGATCTTACCTTTTAAATGGCAATTAGCATTGATATTTTACAATGCTTTGTCTTTGATATCAATTTTTTATGTACTTAAGAAATGTGTGACCTTGAAATATACCATCAGCTGTCCCAGGGGAATATTTTATGCAGTTTTTCACAATGATTCATGTTCAAATATGTGATGGGAATTATTTAGGCTTCAACAATCATAAAATTTAAGAAAAATTCTGCAAGTAAGACGATTTTATTTGACATTTTAAAAAACGCTTGCATAAATTATGCAAATCATGATATCTCATTGGCCTAAATTTTGATATTTCTGTTTGATTCATAAGGATCATATTAGTTTATTCAATTCCCTATAACAATTTCAAGGCTTGTAAAAACAGCTCTGTCTTTTTGGCAGAGAGTCCAAAAAAGGCTCTGTCTCAAGAAGGTTTAAATTGTTTGCCAGGAAGTTAATGCTTGAAATGGTACGTTAACTGGAGGCTTAGATAGCAGCAATGTAAAACAAAATAATCATGCATATGCCATCCAAGTGATGAGTAAGAAAAAGTCAAAAAGAAAATAGACTTTATGGCTGGTACTGATAGGGTTGTTTTCCATGGTTGAAAAGCATGATTAGAAAAAATGATTTTACAAACTATTTCAAATGCTTTGAATCGTAAATTTTATTTTCTCATATTATTTTATTAAACCTCCCCCAAATCTGTTGTTTAAATATCAGTTTTATATCCACACAAAAGTTATGACTGGTGTTTTTATGTAGACATTTGGGAACCTTTGTTAGTGTGTATCCCAAATCTTTGATGCAAAATTTTCTGTCAATCATATTAAAATGAATGAGTGAATGATGTATTGCCAGATTTGACTTACTCCTGTAATTTTGTGTTGCATTGTTAAAAGTCTAGATAGGAAAGTCGTTGACATGGTGGCCTGAGGTTTTGCCTACTTCAGATCTAGATCTGACAGTATTTTGCTTATGAAAATAAGATGAAGCCCATCTAAAGTGTTATTTCAGATATTTTTTGGTAGTGGGATGGCTTCTGAAATTTGTAATGAATTGTTTATTTTTTAAAGTGCATTAAGAAAAATAGAATAAAAATTATATATTCTGGTACGGCACCATCAAATACTCAAAACTTTAAAAAGTCCCTTTTTAAAAACCCATTTTTAAAAATAAGCTCATCACTATTCATACAGAATATTGTAAAACCTGCTATTAAAGGGATATATTAGGGTTCCACTGTATAAAGATGATTTTATATGGAACAATTCTACTCAGTGTTGCCAAAACCACAATCGTATGGCTTATTTTAATATGCATCTTATTGACAGCGCACTTAAGCGACTGCTTTAAAAAAATCATCCTACCTTTTCTCCAACCTTCAGTGATATATGGGGTACCAAAAGACATTATCTCCAGCTTGCTCCTTCTCTTTCATGTTTTTGTCACCTGTCTGCTTGTCTCTTATTCAAGATTTTTTTGGGTATTAGGGCACCCCCCCCCCCCCACCTACTGTTTTTTTTTTACTTCCAGACATATCAGTTCTGCTTCAAAGCTGCTTCATTATAGTGTCTCATGTCCAGGCAATTAAATTTTTAAGTCATCCAACTCAAACCGCTTCTGGGAACTTAGTTCACATTAAATTTGCCATCTGATGCTTAGTCTCTTGCACAGATGTCCATTGCCTCCTGTTGGGTGGTTGTTAGATGTAGCGTTTCTTGGTCATTGCTACAACATGATTACATTCATGTCTGCAAATTTATGCAGAGCATTTTCAATAAAATGCTTGTGACTCACTTCTAAATATCTGGAGTGTACAAAGAATACATGACTTAATTCGGTCATGACTATCACAAGATCTAAAGTGTATCATTAGTTTTACTATCTTTGACTATTCGTTTGTTAAATGACTGGTTGCCCACATAAACACAATACATAGGGGGTGTAGACACAATTGATACTTGTTAATAATAGTTAATGTTTTTTTGTTTTTTGTTGTTTTTTTTTGGGGGGGGGGGTCAAAATTGCATTTTCACACAACACTTTACAATCAATACAGGGGATTGTCACATTAAATTTATTTTGTCCTCAGATGGGGGGGGGAGGTGGGGGTTATAATAGCGTCTTTACGGCAGTGGTTTAAATAATTACCCCCCCCCCCCCAACCGCCGATGTTGTATTACTTTTTATGTCCCTTGTATTGTTTTTTGGAAAGTCTCTTTTTTTTTAAACTTTAAAATAGTAATGTTCTCCCCTCCTGTGATGATCGAATCTTATGGGTTATCTATTGAATCACTCTTTAACAAAGCCCATCAAATTGACTGAACATTAGATACCGTTTCCGCTATTAAATCTATTATCAATTCTCCGATAAGCTTGTTTCTGATTTTAACAGCTCTCACTTTCAGCTCCAACTCTATAGCGGCATCAGACAATTTCTTCCTTTATTTTTGTCCAGTCCCGAATTGAGAAAATCGTTCATGGGTTCGGCCAAATTTGGGGGGAAAGAACCACATTGCTAAGCCACTAAGGATGCATCAGCGTCGCTATGGCAACGGGCGGTTTCACGTCAAATAAAACCGCTCCCGTCTCCTCCCTTTCTCTCACGTCTACGTGGCCCGCGATTTGTGAGCAGCACTGGGCTTTTGAGACATTCGGGTAATGATTGAAATTTCGGGGTGGGGGGGGGGGGGGCTTTTTGTTTGGCTGGGTTGCTTTTTTTTTTTCCCTTTTTTTTTTTTTCTTTTTTTTTTTTTTTTCCCTTCTTCTTCTTTTCTTTTTTTTTTTTTTTTTAACCCGGGGTGTGCAGAGGCAAGTCCACCCGTTTTTTTACTTGTCTTTAGAGAGGACGCGTAGTCGCAAGCAAAGAAAGACATGACGTGCCAATGGAGTGGGGGTGAACAATGTGTTATTTATTTGGGTTGTTGGTACATACAGCTTAGATCCAATAATCTATTCACAAACAGTCTTGAGTGGAGTTTATACTTCCTTGCATTATAACGGCACATGTGATGATATAATGGGGCTTTATTATCTCTCTTTTTTTAATTAAAGGAAAAAGTCACTAAAATAATGTGTGATGTCTTATAATAACATCTTTTCCTGTTAAACCTGATGTCATTGGTTTCAGATGTTTAACTGTGTGTATCCCCGCTTAAAGTTTCGTACATTTTAACATATGAATCGGCGATGATAACGATGTGGATATTTTCGCAGCCTCGGTGAAATAAAATGCAAGTAACATTTTACAATTGAAAGAGATTGCAAAGTTTGTGAGTTGTGTGTTAATATAAAAATAAGCAAATTGTTTGATCTGTCCTGTCTGCTGGTGAAGGCTCTTAACCATTCTTGTCTCATTGTCCTGTTTCTTAATTCAAGCTTCCACATACCCTGTTTCACTATATCATATATCCTTGAATTGTCTGGCAGTTGTGTGTGTGTGTCTTGTAATTTTAATTATTCCAAGGGCTTGGATTCAATTAATCTTTCGTCATCATTCAAGTTTTCATCGATGTTTGAGAGTGAGGAACACCAACCTTATTCTTCAGGATGATCTCGCAAGTCTTAAACTTGTTTTATTGCACTGACTTGGAGCGATTTCTGTCTTTTCGTCTAAAGATTGGGTTTTGTCAAAATGAACACATTAAGTTCTTGTGAAGCCTTTATCCGGACATGTATCGTTGTGCAATGTTGATGTGCCCCACAGTTTGGTTGTGATTTACGTTTCCATGGTATTTTCTTAAAATGAAACCCGACCGACTCGTTCGAGTGAAATCTGCTGCTAAATTATACGATGCTATTTAAGAGCACTTACTGCTGGTTACAACCCCCCCCCCCCAAACACTCACATGACGGTCGTGGCATCTCGGCCGACGTGGGTTAGTTTATGCGTAACTATGGTGATAGTTTGTGCATCATTTCCATGGTATTTTCTTAAAATGAAACCCGACCGACTCGTTCGAGTGAAATCTGCTGCTAAATTATACGATGCTATTTAAGAGCACTTACTGCTGGTTACAACCCCCCCCCCCAAACACTCACATGACGGTCGTGGCATCTCGGCCGACGTGGGTTAGTTTATGCGTAACTATGGTGATAGTTTGTGCATCGCTTGTCATACTGTCATGTCTGCCGGTATCTTCACAGCCTGGGTTATTGTTTGTCCGGCAGTGCTCAGCTATACATTACTTCGCCCGAGCAATAACTTTGGGATTGTTCCACGTCCTTTTATCACGTGTGCTACCAGGAGACAATTTACAGTTGCGAAGCGTTTATATATGGTCCACCAGTAATTGGAAGTTAGCTTCTAATTAAGAAAAATTGGTCTATTTTGTTGAGGACTGAAGTATAAATTTGATGTTACTGTACCTGCACGGTGGATATTATTGCAATGTGTCTCTCTACTTTCTCCGTAAGTAATTGTGTCTTTGTTATCTGGATGTGAGGTATTCTCTTTTAAAATTACATTTTTGGATAGGTGGCTTAACATAAGATGAAACTCAAAGTGGTTCTGTGGATCATGTTATTCGTGTTCTTTACGTGCTGATAGTTGTCAGCAATCCAGAGCATGAAAGAGATGAAACCATTTAAGATAACTGCTATCTACGAGAGGGGACAGAGATCCATGACCAGCGATTGTGTCTCCCCCACCGCCCCCCCCCTTTTTTTTTTTTCGTTCCCAAATGACCGCTAGACACGAGAAGTCAGCCTGGATGTGAGCATAGTCTGTTTCTGATTCATCCGTGGGACAGTTGGCGGGGGGGGGGTGTCACATTATTTCCGCTGTTTTGGCAATATGGGGGTGGGGGCGTTTATTTTTAAACCAAGATTTTTCCCATTAAATTTATAATTTGACAATACACCACTCTTATTTAACTTAACCTTAAACGGGTATGCTTTAATTCCCATTGAATAAGGCTTTCGGACCGACAAATGTCAAGAAGTTAGATGTGAGGGGCGCGAGCCAGCTGTCGCAAGTGTTGTCATGGAGACGGACGCTTTCCTGTTGGATTTTTTTTTTTTTTTTGGGTCTGTGTGGGCTGGCCTTATTTTATTTGAAGACGTGCTGCGTCTGTGTTGGGCATGCTCTTGGTGGCTGGTGTGGGACCACACGATTATTTAATAAACACCGAGAGGATGACGATTGGGTTGGGGTGGAAATTGTCTCCCATAACTACGGTTAAACGACCTATAATTGTGCTTTGACCTAGTTGTCTGTCTGCCATTGATGCCAACATACAACATTATCTTTTTTTTTTCTTTACATTTTTAATTATATGCATGTGGGCTATGTTGAATTGTCCATTAGATGACCTCATTTGACAGATACAAAAAAATGAAACTCTTTTGCATACATGGTGTCTTGCGTAAATTGTATTTCTTCTAAGTATGCATACTGCGTATCATTATGTGTATGCCTATAGTATAAGACTTAAAACTAAAACTATTAGAAGTGTACGTTTGTCAAAATACGCTTTGGCCATAATTATAATTTATTTTGCTAATTTTCGTAAGAAAAAAAATACATTTTAGTACTTCATAACCTATGATAATATTAAAAAAAATTGAAGAGCAGAAATCTTGCAAAAAAAAAATTTGAATACAAAATTCTTTTACCTTTATAACAATGCCCTCCCCCCCCCACCCTTAATTAAAAAAAAAAAAAAAAGGATAAATCACCCCCTTCGCGTTATATAACATGTGCATGGTCCTTAGATTTAGAATGTTTAGTGGACCATCGGCCGAGACGCCACTGTTCCATGTCCATGGATATGTGTAACTACTTAAAACTAATCGTTAACCTAATAGAGAACACACGGAGGGGCCAGTCTGTCCACTGTCACGTTTACTGTACATTGTTTAACAGCCGAGCAGCTGATAGACGTAACCTTAGAGTGGAAACATTTCAAGCGGATGACCCTTGAACTTTCCTCTCGTTCCAATTCGCACAAAGAGCTTGTATATTGTTGGCTTGACAACACGGAAAGCCGGCGTAGCGATTGGTTGGGCGGTCTCAGTGTAGTGTTAAAGGATGCGGGATGGAGGAGGCTGGGTCTATTTTGGTTGCCATGTTTACAAAAGGCTTTTCCTCCATTTCCCCTCTAAATATCGTGAGCCCAAACGTTAAATATATAGATTTTCACAGGATTCGTTGTGGGGTTTACCTAAACATGTGCCCCATGTGTACTGAATTGAGACACGTGCACTAACCTGAGACAGCAATGCAATTGTTTATCCCGAATTTGGGGGCAACAAATGCCCTGCATAACTTTGTCATGACATAAAGTCATCTGAACCCGTCCTGCCTAGTGTAGCGTTTGGCGTCTGCTCGGGCGGTTATCTTGGGGAGGGGGGGGGGCGTCTCTCAGTTGTCCTATCATATCTAATATGCAATATTATTGAATAGATAATAGAATAAGTTAAATTCGTCCATAGAAGTAATTCTTTTTATTATTTAAGAATTTTTTTAATTGTAAAGAAATCACCTTCTTCATATATACTGATACAGTAAATCAACTAATATTTTATCCATGTTCATTATGCATTAGAAACGATGAAGAGAATGCTTCTCAAGTTCCTTTTTGTGGAAATTAGTCATAAATTTATAATTTATATGGTATTTTATGGTGTAAAAGGGTTGCAGTTACATTACACCTCTCCTTCAGTCCAAAAATAGACATTACCTAAGCCTAAACCATAGACAGTAATTAAGAACCTAGTGCTAAAAGTACTTAAGTCATCATTCTAAAATGTGACCTTTTCCTATCCGTTAACCAAGTGTACCGGTACTGCATAAATTTGAACACATTAAAATGTGCCCTTAATTAAACAAGACAAAATATGGCAATGATCACATTTTATAGAGGAAAATAATATTTGAACTTGATTATCTCAAAATGTGTATTTTGTGACTTAGTACTTTTAGCACCAAGACCTTCAATATAGATTGCTCAAATAAGTTGTTGGTTTTTGTGTCAACAAACCTATAGATGTATAAATAGTTTACTAAAAATAAAATTTGTTGTTTTTCTTTAGGCTGTGAGGACACAGTACCAACAATGGTACCTGTGTGCAAGCTGCCAGATGAAAGTGATGCCTCAATGAGGGCTCGTCTGTTTACAAGTCTTAGCCAGAGCTTCCCACACAGTCAGCTATACAAAGCACTTCATGGGGGTGAGGACATAAACCTCAATGGTGGGGACAATTCAGAGGACGACGACGACAGCTTGTATGGGGATCATCTCTCCAACAGCTGCTTTGCCTCTTTACGAATGGATCGCCGGGACAGTGATGACTTTGATGATGACCTCCAGTCACTAGAATGGCTCCAGAGTGAAGATTTACTTAAAAACATTGGTGGGGAGAAATTAGATAAAGATGAAGATGATAACGAAGAGCAGAAAGAAAATGAAGACATTAAGCCAGACATAAATGCCCTGCAGGCTGTTACTGGGCAGCAGCCAGCCACTATTCCTTACCTCCCACAGAAGCATGTAAACAGTAAACCACCGTACTCATTTTCTTGTCTCATATTCATGGCTGTGGAGGCATCGCCTCAAAAGAGGCTTCCTGTAAAGGATATATATAATTGGATCTTGACGCAGTTCCCATACTTCCAGAATGCTCCCACTGGATGGAAAAACTCAGTCAGACATAATCTAAGTCTCAATAAATGCTTCAAAAAAGTAGAAAAAGACAAAGGGCAGGTATGTAGCATCTATTTAAAACATAAGGCATGATAAGACCAAGTACTATTCTCAATTTTCATTTGTTTGATGAGTAGGTCAAAGGCAAAGTTGTCCAAATTTGTCCAATGTTTAAATTAGATTAAATTATGTAACATTCAGGCTAAAGTAACAATTTACTCTATTTCAAATTTAATGTCTAACTTCCATTCATAAAATAAGTCTTCAACACTTGATATTTAACAACAAAGAATGTTTACTTCTTATTTGTATTGTTATTATGAGAAACTTTGTTCAAACAAAATTATGGTAATGAATGTGAACATGATTGAAAGCAAAGACACTACATGTCGATTGCATAAAGATATTTATGTTATCAATTATGCAACACCAAAAAAGGTCTGTCTGTGAATCTGTTCTTGTTGGGAGCAAGCTGTTATTGAAGCACATGGATAGTTATTGCTTTTAATTTAACAAATTCCTGAAATCATTTCCTTTTAAAACTAAGATTTCACTCTTCTAACTTTGAAATACATATTTACATATGTTGAAGTCCCTATAGTACTGAGATGGACCACTTGGTGTACATTATCGGAGCTCATTCCCTCATAGATGTTAGGGCTTACTTCTCTTGGTGTTTTAAAATATATCTTTAGAAACTAGGGTTAAGACAAAGACCATTTTTAATCACAAACCATTCTATGTATGCATTAATCATACACCGTTAATAAAATCATGTATTTTTACAGCTCTGTTTGCATAGGTCGGGTGGGATTTTTAAAGTGGAAATTCTGTATGGCTAGGTTGGTAGATTTGCTTGCAGTGTATATATCTAGTGTGATTGTCACAATATTATTTACTTCTGTCCTTTAAATCACGCATAAATTGTATTGTTCTGCTGTGGCGTAGCTAGGGAGATTCGGACTGCACTGGGTGACACCATCTCAGGGGGTGACACCAAATTGAAAATTGCATATTTACATAGCACACTTAAAATAATAAATGATCACACATACGGTGTCCACATACAGAGTGGTAAAAAAAATGAGAACATCTCATAGCAAAAGGTTATTAAATATAATTGAATAAATATATTGTTTTGTCTGTTATCGCCACCGGAAATTGTCATGATAATGATGTCATTTAGTTATATAGTACATAAATTAATCAGTAAATGTAGAGGCCTATACCTATAGCTAACAAATGTTAATGTAATTATATGACATTGTAAGAGATGTTAACACTTTTTTTTTTGGGGCCACCCCGTATATAACTAATCCTAGAGGCCTTAAGATTGTTTCTGCACAAGAAGTGCTGTCACTTGGAAAATGCTTTGAAAAGGCCCTTCTAAAATAAGAACCTACATGGCATTTCGTTAGAGCGAAGATTGAACTTCATGAAGAGATTGGCAGGAGAACAATTAATAGATGCTGGACAAGAAGAAAACTTAGGGAGAGTGTATTGATAGCTTTCATTCTGAACGTAAGATCAGATCAGCAGTGATCAAGGAAGTAGCCGCTATGTTTGGGGCTGTTCAACCCAAGAGTCTATATGCTATCAGCAAGTGACGAAGAGTTATTTTTTTCCGTTCCAAAATTAACCCCTTTCTGTGATGAATTATCAGAACATGAACTTTTAAAAGAAATACCAAGGCTTATAAGACACCTAAAGGCAGCTGATATTGAAGTTCACAAAGTCATGGACTGGTCAGTATTTGATGTTTTGAAATTCATAGCTAAATGGTACTTTCTGCAATCTCTTCTAATATTCTCGCTAAGCCTTCAATTGTTTCTTACAAACCGTGTGTCTGTGGCTTCATGGCAGCGGAGCTTTTCAAAACTAAGACTTATCAAGAACTATTTACGATCCACCATGGGACAGTCAAGGCTTTTTGATCTTGCTCTACTATCAATTGAAAGTGATACGGTGAAGTATATTGATCTTTATAAAGTGATGGACAGGTTTGCAGCTTTGAAGACGAGGAAAGGAAAATTTTAATTAAATTTAATGTAAAAACCACTATAACTAAATGTTGTTACATTTCTTAAATACATTTACCTCCTGACCTTCTATTAGTTTCTTTATTTTCTTGTTATTGTTGCACTGTGGACTTATTTAACAAGTAGATATCCATCATGAAAGTTGGGGTAAAGTTTAGGGGGGGGGGGAGGTGTAACACCATAAGTTTGCCGCACCGGGTGACACCAGCCCTAGCTACGCCGCTGTTGTTTTGCTTTTACCAATAACATTATGTGTTTAGAAAGCTACTTTTAAAGTAAAATTAACTTTTTGTGTGGGATACCTTTTTAAGAGTAACAATTTATTTCCTCGAATAATGATGTACTGAATTTTTCTTACCTTATTATTGTTAATTGCATTTTGTTTCAGGATTAAGAATGTTTCATTCATCACAGCTTCTAATTATCAATTTAAAAAATGCTTCACTTGTTTTTTTTTTATTTTGCATACTATAAACTGCACATTAACCCTGGTTTATGAGTAGGTCACATAGCCTGCTTCCCCTCTTCACTCAGAAAAATTCAGTTATTTGCAATTTTTTTTTGAGTGAAATATCTTTTTTTGTTTGTTTGTACAACCTTAAAAGACAGAATTTCTTATTTTAATCTATATCTATATCCAGAGTATTGGAAAAGGTTCACTGTGGTGCATAGACCCAGCCTACAGGCCGAATCTGCTCCAAGCATTAAGGAAAACTCCCTATCATCCTTACCATCAACTCCAGATGACTTCCACTCAACCACATAGCTGTATTCAATATCACAGTCTTCCAGGGTAAGAAGATGTTTACTCATTAACTTTTTCAACATTTGTTAGGTATTTTTGTACATGATGGTAAATTTCATTTTGTGTTTCAAAGGATGCCATTTAAATGTGCCATTTTTATATATTTTTTTGGTATCTTTTTCAATATGTTCATCTACACATTCTTGAATATTACATTAATTATTGATGACCTCTCTTATTTCAGTGGAGATAGAATTGTTCTTCCATTGACCCAAAGGCCAGTACCTAATACAGTTTCTCCACGTAAGTTTTATAAATTGTAAAAATTTTACTTGATAGTCAAGGGATGCTCACATAAATGTGTGTTTTTCTGTGGTTTAAAATTATAGCGTAAATGATAACATATCATTATCATTGCCTGTCTCTCTCCAGGCAACCCGTTCTTGGGCAAGTCTCCCCAGTTGTGCCCCTCTTTTTGGTGTCTGCCTCTAGTTCATTTTCATCTTCGTGGCCTGAGTATAGCAGCAGTTTCTCTGTGCTGAGCTCTATCTGACCTGATCCTGTCCATCGGGGCTCATTTATTCCTATAATGGCTAGTTTGTATATCTGCAATTCAGCAGCAACTTGGACAGTTTTTCCAGTTTCGAACATGGTCCTTATGCTGGTGGTGGTCCTAGTGGAGAGGATGGTTTCCATTTGGCTTTGGCCACCCAGCTTCATTAATTCTCTGTCAGGAGACCCATTCTTTCCAAGGTCCGAGCTTCCTTTTGAAATCTTTGTTTGTGTTTTTCTAGCAGGGCTTTTTAACAGGGAAGGGTTGCTAGCCCATGGCCCAACCCTCCTTTCTCACCGCGGCTAGTGTTTTTCTTTTAAAAAACAAGTATAAATCTAAGTCATGCATCATCTGTTTCAAGTACATTCTCTCTTTCCACAGATCTATTTCCATTTTTAAGTCGACGGCTTGCACAGACATCTATTGATGTTGGTAAGTTTAAAAAATTAATTAATTTATCATTGATTCCTATGTGACATTATAAAAATTAATTTGATGCCCAGTAAAGGGGATGTTGCGGTGTATAAAATTAAAAATAAACTTAAAGTTTTTGAAAACTGAAGAATGACACCTCAGTAAAATAATACCCTAGTGATTGTTACGTTGAGAATAAATTCCTGCTTGAATTAATCTAATACTGAAAAGTCTACCCAAAGAAAAGCTTTCTGACTCTTCATGCCTTATTGATTACCCCAGTCAAAAGGTAAAGTGCTATAATGCTGAGCTGTGTCATGCAATTATTCCACCCTTCAGTATTGTCAGCCTTCATAACATTAATTTTCTATGTAACTCACAGCACTCTTGTTAACACTTTTAAATTAGTCAAGTATTTTTCAGTGTTTGAAATGTCTATTAATCCCCCTGAGGTGTTTACAGGAATTATGTTCCGTTGTTTATTATGACCTGCTACTGTTTGTCTGATTGAAAGGAACTGTTAGTAGGCATTAGAACTCTGGGATAAATAAAAGTTGTCTTGTTGTCACTGTTGCAGTGATAGTGGTAGTGCATAATTTATAAACATTGCTGCAAAGGAAATAATTATTAAAAGATAAGATAAGTCAATTGATTTATTCAAATAAATGGAAGTGTTTTTTTTTTTTTATAACATTGTACATATTAGTTTTCAGCACATAAATAAATACATATTTTAACCAAGACAACATTTTGCAATTGTAACACTTTAAACACGAGACATCTAGGTTAAAAATCAGCCATTAATGAACGCCCTTATAGTGATAGTGGCAATAATGACTTAATTAGAAATCATTTAGATTTGGAAACCGCTGGTGCAGCAGGCTGGTAATTTCGTACAGACAGGGGAATAAAAGAATTGTTAAATCTTTTGGTCCAAACTTTAAGAGAAAGAATTCACCCTGATTCGAACTGATCTTAGTTATCTGTGATGAAGAGGGTGGCATGTATCATCCAAAAAAATTTTAAGTTTTACATCAGCATTTTTCTTCAAATAGTTCTTCCTGTTAAGGATGTTTTGTTTGAGTGATATTACTAGCTTTCTTATTAGTCTATTTAATCTGTGTTTGATGTCAGATGATGAATTCCCACGCCAGCAGGTAATACTGAAGTTTAGTAGGCTTCCCATTGTTCCACTGTAGAATAAATTTTAACTGTTTTGTTTACGCCTAAATTGTACAATTTTTTAAAATGGAAAAGTCTTTGTTTAACTTTTTGATACAGAATTTGACTGTGTTCATGCCATTTTACCTTATTATTAACGGTGACACCTAGGAACTACTAGCTCTATACTGTGATTTTTATTGTCAGATGTACAATTAAGTGATTCCCCTTCCCGAAATTGACAACCATTTTTTTTATTTTTGAGAATTCAACTGAAGAAAATTTGCTTAGCACCCACTGACAAAACTTGTAATTAAGTTGCAGTATAATCTTTCCCCTTCAGATATTAATCCAATAATGGAGGTATTGGTAAATTTAATGATTGGAACAGTGTTGCTTGGGCTCTGAATATCATTATTACATATATTGTATTATACAGGACAGAAATATGTTTTAAAAAACATTTAAAGAACTCTTTTTACAATAGAATCTTCAGTCTTTTTTATGGTCTTTTCAGCATTATATTAAGTCTTTTTTTTTTTTAACTGAATAGTATGAAAATTAAAGTGTGCCAGTGTCTCATACCCTTTTTTTTGTTTACACATCTGCAAAACGGAAATATGTTTTAAAAAACATTTAAAGAACTCTTTTTACAATAGAATCTTCAGTCTTTTTTATGGTCTTTTCAGCATTATATTAAGTCTTTTTTTTTTTTTTTAACTGAATAGTATGAAAATTAAAGTGTGCCAGTGTCTCCTACCATTTTTTTTGTTTACAAATCTGCAAAATAATGCCATGTAATTTATTATTAAAATTGTTGTCTCCATTCATGATTTTGACATACATTTTTCATTAAGATTCATTAGAAGAAGTTCATCACTATTCTAGTCTGAACATGTTATTGAAATAAAACTGCATTTTAAAAATACATTTTTATCATGAACACTTGCTGTTGGTAAGATGGCTTGTAAAACATGACCAAGTGACTCTATCTATATTCAATGGGTAAAAGAGAGATGGAAAAATTAAAAATAGGCCAAAGAACAAAACACAGGGTCAGGACACAGCTTGTTGGTGCATGAAATGTTAGCTGAAGGTAGTTGTTTTGGCAATAGAGAAGCCCACTTGACTACTGCTAGTCATGACTTGAACAGATTTAAACTTGTTGTTTTTCTATCATCAAGGCTGAATTAGTTTTAATTTAGCCCCAAGTTTGGCAGTAATATCTTAATATTTAGTTCTTGCATGAATTCGTCATTAACTCCAGCCCTGTTCACTTTATTTATATTATGAAAATAGAAGTAGCGGTAAATAAAATCTCACTAACTGACAGGCTTAATACAAATAGGGTTATAATCTGGGAGCTGGTTATTAATCATCCATGAGTGTCATTTCGACCTGAGCACTTAAGCTGTTATATTTAATTTAGGAAGGGTAGTTGGGGACCTACGGTACTAAAAAATGCCTGTTGACCTAATGTAGGAAGGTAATGAAGTTAAACTTCAAAGAATTATTTCCAGTTAAAATACCATTTCTGTTGTAAATTTCTTTCTTTTAAATATCAAGAAAAAGGGGAATTTTACAAATTATTGTTAAATTAGCTTTTTTTAAAAAATGATGACTATTTAAAGTCCCTACAAAAATTACTTCAGACTGCTATTATGAATCCCATGTCTATTTGATCTTGACCACATTATATATGAAACAAAGAGCATAGGGGTCAGCCAACTCAGTATGTTTGAAGTCCATTGCTCTAAGCCCAAAATGTAAAGAAGCAAAGTATGATTTATGTACATATACATGTTTTGTTTAATACTATGTTTTCCTTCCTAATCCTCACCAATAATAATTCTATCCATCCACATGGTTTTATCACACAATTTCTGTCATTATTATTGATTGCATACAGCTGAAGTTTACACATTGTTATTGTATGGAGTTCCAACAGTGAAGTCTTTTTTATTGATTGGTTAACAACTGAGCCATCCTTTCCCCCATCCCAGACCCCACCCCCCAACACTGCCTAACCTGTATGCTCATTGTTCATGTGGCTTCTCCCCATATCTCTGTAGTCACACATTTATTGATGATGCCATGGTTACTGGCAATAATGTCTTCCATACAAATGGAGTGATTTAACACTTGCCTCAAGTGTAAGCTTGTGAACAGTAAAATGAGTATCATATCTTTCAGATAGCCTACTACAATTTTGGAATGTTGAATAAAATAATACATGTCAGGTGTTGAATTCTCCAAGTTTGATAATAATGTTCACTGATATGTTTGTAGCCTAAATATCCTAGAAAAGGCTCAGACCTGACCTTTGAAATAATATTAAAAATTACAATGATTGCATTAATGATCACAATTAATCTGATAAAATGGTAATGATTATTGTCCATCTGTTAATCATTTATTGTTCATTTCTTTATTAAGATATCATGAACTGTCAAGAAATATCCCTTTCTTGACATTTATTTCAAGTCAAGGGAATTTAGCGCCCCCCAATCCCTTTCCTATCAGTGTCAGAAGTAGTATTTTGAATTATAATAAGAGGGGAACGAAATGACATTGGATTGTGGAGGTTTGTTCAGTGAATACTTTTTAAACTCCTTGAGCTCTATTGTTGACTGCACCCAACAGCCACCTTACACTGCAGTCTGAGTCAATACGGATCTATAATAGTGTACTCAACTGTCAACTGTTGTATTGGCTTTGAATTTTTTTTATTTGAAAGCACTTCAGTCAGTTGCTGCTAAATGTCAGTCTGCCACACACACATATTATACATACATCCACATACACGCACAAGTAGGTGTTTGGTTAGTATGCTTAAATGAAAGCTACATTTTTTGTTTAATATTTAATGTAGAAAAAAATTATTATATTTTTTAGACAATGAAATGAAGGATGTTGCACAAACTCTTGTAGCCTTGAAAAGCTCCCATAAGATGGGTAAGAATACCTTTACACTTCCACTGGTTTAATAAAAACTCAATCTTATCCATTTTATTTATCTAGTTTCTTTTTGGATTTGAGTTTTTTTAATATCATATTATACATTTCTTAACTTTTATTATTTGCTTCCCATAAATCATTTCACCATTAAATACACATTTAAGTCTATAGTTGATTATGTCTTTGAAATGTTTTGAGGAAAAAATATATTTTTTTTAAGAGACCACATGCAAACAAATCAAAAAATTTTATTATTTCTTTTTAAATATCTGCTTTTATTTTTCTTCAATTGTTCCATAATTAAGACATCCAATGCTCATAATGTTTAAAGAGATGTTTTAGTGTTCATCCTTTAAATAGGTCAATCATAAATATATTCATATGTATTGATTGATATCAATATAACTCTCTTTTTTTATCTTTTTTTAAGGACTCACTGATAGTTCAGCAGGTGAAGATATTGGTCCAACATGGAAACACCATAAAAGATCAAACAGGTAGAATATTAATCTCTTTTAATTTAGATTGCTAAAAAAAGTTAATTGTAATTATTCTGAACTGTGAAATATTAAATATAAAATTATTTGTAATGAATGTATACACAAAAATTCACTTAACTTTTTCTCAGCTGCAACAATACACGAAGGAGGTCATCCAGTCCTGTGGTTGTCACTGACCATCCATATGATGACCATGCTTACAGTTCCTCAAGGTTGTTTGATGACGATTTACCATCTCCTTCTTCCTCATCCTCAATTGATGAAGAGTATGACTTTGGTGATGCAGGTGAGTTTTCATTGACTTGATCTGTATTAGTTAAGATCTATCCCTTATGTGAACTGATTGATCTGATAGCTCTCTTTGGCTGGATTTATTGGTTTAAAGGATGACATCCACAAAGTAAGAGAACTGTTGACTTTGCCAATATAAATAAAAGCTTTTATAAAACACAACATTTTTTTTCATTTATGAACAGGATTCTAACAGCGTCTCATCTAAACTTATAAACGAAATCTTTAACTTCAATAGATTAGAAATATTGTATAAAGGTATTAAAAACTAATAAAAATTATAGCTTTTTTGAGAAGGCTTTAAGGATCCATTTCTGTTAAATAAACACACACATAAAAGTACCTCATTGATGATTTAACTAAATGATAAATTTTACTGTGACGGTAAGATCATAATTGCCAATTAGTTAAATCTTGACTAGCCCATAAGTTAGACTTGACTAGCCAATAAGTTAGACTTGAGAGACAATTAAGTTAACCCTGAACAGCCCTCATATTAGAACTTGAATAGCTTTTGTGTTAGATTTTGACTAGCCAATAAGTTAGATCTGACTAAAGATCATGTGTGGCTAAATTTTCTTAAGAAAATAACCAAAGAGTTGATAGACAGTGTTAATGATGAGTGAGTTTAACCTTCCTCATGTTTCAGTACTCTCATACTTACTGAGACATACTGGGGACACCGCTGATGAGCTGTTCAAACAATTGGACTGCTCTGAGCTCTCTTTTCCTATCAGTGATCATTTTTTCTGTCCACATAGTAAGAGTTTGGCACAGTTATTATTTTGTGAATTAAACTTCTCATTGTTTATTTGCTCCTTTTCAAAATTATCAATTTTTTGTGTGTGAAAATTTAGTTCAGTTGATTTTAAAGAGTTTTAAACATATCTCAGTTATCAATATTACATGAAATTGATTTAAAACAAATGCTGATGGCTTCTTGCAAGGCAACTTTGTCAGCCAAAAATATTAAAATTTAATAAATAACACCAATAAAAACAATGTATAAATGGCACAGTAAAGATTACAGTTAGTATGTTGGCATCACATTTATTCCCTCAATTAATTTTGAATGCACTGGCAGAAGAAAGTGAGAGTTAAAAAGGCAAAACTTTTATATAACACAAGGGAAAGCTTTATTTGAGATAAAACAAAGTACTGAACAATTCAGGAGACAAAACATATCTATGTGTAATAATTAACTTATGAGTGGTAATGCAGAACATGTTGTAGTAGTAGTAGTAATATGAATAATACTAAGAAGCTACAGAAAATGGGAACCAGGCACCTAAGCTGACACAAAAATCAGAAGGAACTGATCATTTCCTCACTCAGCCCAGAATATATAATGCTTTTATTTACTTCATCCATTGATAACTTTTTTCTTTTTTTTTTTTGCTTTCCCCATAGATGAAGAGTCTGACTACCAATCTGACATGGAATGGGACAGTGATGACAAAGATGAGGTGGATGGGGGAGACATTCAGTCACACAGGAAGCTGAAGATTGACATTCAGGGTGAAGGCAGCACATCGACCTCAAACAGGGCTCATGGCAGCCAAGACAGTGAGGATGACGAGCAGAAGAAAATTCATGAAGGTGCCAGCGCCCTGTTGAATTTGGCCGGTCTCTACCGCAGCAACAGCAGCACCAGCAATAGTCCTGACTGCCTAAAGGAGAGAAAGAAAAAGGAGAGGCTTGGTGAAAAGTCAAAGAAATCTAATAAAGTTGTGAAAGCGTCTAAGAAAGGAAAAGACAAAAAGCAAGTTTTCAGTCCAAAAGCAGAAGGTGAAGGCTCAAGGAAGAGAAGTGTTAGCAAGAGGAAAAATGCTGGAAGCAATGGAAAGTATGACAATGAAGATTATTCATTAATTAAAATCAACAGAACACCTACGAAAGGAAGGCCACCCAACCCAGATAAAGCTGCTAAATCCAAGCTTGTGAAATCCTCAGCTTCCCACAAGGATCCCGCTAAGGTTGCAGGTTTGAAGACAAAAGCTAAAACTTCAGTCAAAGCAGCGTCTAAGGCCGCCAAGAAAAGCATGGAGAAAAAGAAATTAAAACTGTCAAAAACCTTTGGCTCATCCAAAAAACAAGCTGCTGACCTATCAGTAAACAAAGGGGAGGATCTGCCTGCTGGTGGGAAAAGCATGAAAAGTAATAAAACCAAGAAACTGCTTTCCAAGAAAGAAGGGTCACAAACTGCCGCTGGTACTCTGAGAAAGAGTAAAGCACTCATTGATGGCATGAAGAGCAAAACGTATAACCCTGCATCAGCCATTAACCAACAAGTTTTATCTGCTGACCATGGCAGCACACAAGTTCAGATTTTAAACAACAATCATGTTAAAGTTGCTAATGTATCAATGAAGACCAGTGATGATATATTAGGAAACGATAAGCAGCTTTCAGCACATCAAACTGATTCACCCAAGGATGATGTTTGTTGTCAGTCTCCAAGCAATAAAGGACAAGTACTGACCAATGCAAATGGTGGAATAATTTCCCCTGCTGGTGATGCCCCCGCTACTCTTTTGGCGGAGGCTAAGGGTTCAGAGGCGAAGCTTGCAGTTTTAAAACCACCACGATCAGTGGAACTGGGCACCAGCAGCATTAGGCTTGAAACCTCTGACAATCTTAATCAGGTTTCCAGCATAAAAAATGGCTTGAACAACAAGAACAGCCCTCCTGACCTTGTGTCAGGCCTGGGGATGTCACACAGGAGTCCACATTTCACAAGGTTTTCAAAGAAAAAAGCTGCTCTGTCTTAGCATAAAATAGGTTGTAATACATGTGTTTGTAGTGTTATTGTTTCATGTAATTTTTTGTGTTTTTGTTAAAACGGTGATAATCTACTGTAATTCATTAACCATTTACTGGATTTACTGACCAAATGTAGTGAGGTTATTCTAAGCTTTGTTTAGGGGCAGAAGAACACATACCCAGGTGGCTCCTGGAACTAGATGGTGATGAAGTGTGGTTATTTATTTACTGCAAAGTGTGTGCCAGATATATGTGTCAAACTCACATTGGATGTTACATTAATATATATTCAAAATTACTGCTTTTAGGTATGTGCATCTAAGGAAAGTATGGCTTGCCTTTAAGTTAAGTGATCATAGCAGGTTACAAACAACTTATTAAAATATGTTTAAGTTGTTAAATGATCCTCACATTAGAAACTAAGACAGTCATTTTATGCATAGGGCTTGAGGTTAGACAGCAAACAAAATTGGTGTATATTTTAACCATTTTCCAGACCTACTTAATTTCTTACTTTTGTGTATAATTTTCCCTTTAATCTCTGTTTTTTCATATGCTATTCCACTGCTCTTTAAATTACTAGATTTCCAGCTAGTATGCAATTTTTAAAGGGGGGGCACCCTCCACTAAGTTATAGGGATTAATCCAGGTTCTATGCAATGAGTTGGGTTTTTTTTTCAGCCAGTTTAAGTATTGATTTAGTGCTGAGACACAATTTATTACAATAAAAGTAAACTTGTTTAGACAAAATTTAAACTGTTATGTCCTTTGACTGTTAATTCATTGAGATAAAATAAAATGACATTTATACTAAATTGCTGAATACATTCTGTGGAAATTAAATTTTTGTGAATCTTTTCACTATATTTTTGTTCATCCTGGAATAATGCCTCTGTAAAGACTAGTGGTAGCATTTAGGTAATCCGTTCATGAGTGATCACAAGGAGTTAAGATAGTGGCATCTATTGTGTTTTTTATTAAGAGCCCTTTGGTTAAAAAAAAAAATTCTTTGGTTCCACTGACAAGCTCCACAATTCGTTTGACCTGTCCTGATGTCTCAAACCGTCTTGGTCAATTTTCTCTGTGACTGGCTTTCCCTTGCTTGCATCTGAACTATCACATCTGTAAATGTATCATTGTTGTTATGCTTTCAGCTAGTTCATTTTAAGGCATATCTTGAAAAGTGATCACATCGTTCTAAGCACATAACTGCTATGGAAATCAAAAGACATTGCTTTGACGGGAGTCAGATAACATTTCTGTCATTTCAAAACAGGAATTAACTGCGGTGTTGTGCTTTCATTTATATTCAGAACAGTGGAATTATGTGCAGGAGACACATTATCTTATTTCCAATACTTAGACCTAAATGTACAGCCAAGGAAAAGATTGAACTGGCAGTGACCTGTGAAACAACTTTAGTGAGAGTCCAGTTGTGCATGGTATACTCAAGATAACTGTAGTGAGAGTCCAGTTGTGCATGGTATACTCAAGACCTGGACCCAATCAGAGCATCATGAAATGTTCCCCCATACCAACTGAAGCATTTATTTTCCGCAAACCTCTAAAATCATGTGTTGCTTGTTAAATTACTTTAGATTTTTATCTGATAGTATTACATGAAATGGTGCCTTAACACACTTTATTATAATCGTTATTGACTCGTCTGTTGTAGGTTAATGCAGGTTGACGGCAACATGTTTGTAATTAATGTCTTAAATTTTGTTAAATAAAAATGAATTGCTTTAAGTAAAATATTCTTGTACATACTTACATATATTTTGCAATGATTTGTGCTACACAAGGGGACAAGACAGCTTTCTTTGGCAATTCATAAATATCATTCATAATTTATTTTATCAAAATATTCATGCATTATAAGCAGTGCACAAAAGGTAAATTCTTGATAGGGAAATGAAATTCTTGAGTTTCGAAATTATGTTTATGCTTGATTAAAGATTTACAATCTATTTTGTATGGCTTTTAAAAAAAACAAACAACTTGATGTCATTATGTTTTGACTTATATGCTTTAAGGAAGTTGGCTAGTTCATACTGCACTGAGAACTGCATTTTTCATGCTGTGTTTTTTTTTATTGTTTTAATGGTCAATGGCAATATCAGTTATATATTTTAAAATTAACCCAGTCATAGCAGCTAATAATATACTGTTACGTTATTATATATTTTTTTCAATTCTTCCTGTTTTCTTTAATATTGCTGTCTTGATTTGTTGTTGCTACAAAATGGCTTTTGTCTGATAAACCTTAGGTTAGTGTACATATATTTGACCATAGGTTGCTATTAATACTGTAAAAGCTTTAATTATGTTATTCCTGGGCCGTAAGGTGTTCACATATTATGTAGTCAAGATGATAATATATTGTTGTAGAGAGTCAGAAATTTAGAGAATAATCAAAAGAATATGATTTTAATGATGTCTGGAACTGCAATTTCGATATTTCCATATGAAAATGTTCATACATTTTATCACTGGAAGTCTTACAACATGACAAATGAGAGATTTTTCAGTGGGTAATTATATTAGTATCCGCAAATTAACTACATAAGTAATTTAATGGTTATCTTAGAATATTTTATTAACATTCTGTGGGTCTATAAATTAATTTAAATTATCAGAGTTTTGTGTAAATATTTATTATTATAAATTTATGAAAAGTATAGGACTGATGAGTTAGTACATTCTCTTACAGCTCAGTATGTTGTTGAAAGTACACACACATTTAATGTTAACCTGGAAGTTGGAAACTTAATTCAATGCTCTAAAAATACTCAAGAAACATCAATTATATTTTTAAAAATTCTGAGGCTTACCTTGTTAATATGCTCTGTGAGTCTTGATTGCAATCTAATTTGTTAAATCTACTACTTCAATGATAATGTGTTCATATATGTTATCTGAGATTTTTTTATCTTAACAATTCATATAATCTAGTCTGCTTGAATAAAATCATAAAAAGCTAGGTCATGTGACTATGAGCTATTTACAGTTCATCTATACTTATGTTTCTGTAATGCATTTCTCATTGTTTATTTCCAAGAATAAAATACATGTAATTCAACATTTATCTTGCCATAATGGTAACATGGATCAAACCCTTGGGTGAATATGAAAAAGTATTAATTAAAAAAACAAACAATAGAACACTGTCTCAGACAGTACAACGAATCCATAACATCGATTAGGAAGACTTCTAGAGCACAAGAAATTACATTGTTGGCTTAAGTATCTATAATTTTTTTTAATCTTCAGTTTCTGGGATTAAAAGTAATTTGTATATAAATGTAAATATTAATTTGAATAAGATTTTTTCATTTGATAACAATACTCTGCAATGTGTAGATATCCCTAATTATTATTCGATTGTTGATATGTATATTACCACAAAATGTATTGGGAACGGAGCATTCTATCTAGGGAAAAGGTGTTACAATGATTTTTAAATTTAATATTTGATCACATGACTTGATCCTAAAAAGTAACTTTTCCTTATTATTTAATCAATGTTTATTCGTTCTAAATCTAGACTTAACACTCGCAACCTCAATAATTTAAATTTCTGCTGCACTTTAGCTTAGGTAATTGCTTGTCATCTGTGCTTGCCATTTTTTTAAAACTATGTTCACTCTCACACCTTTTTTTTTATTTCTCACATGATTATGTCAAGGTTTCAAACCACTATGCAATATAATGTAATCTTGACAAAGTTTCATGAAAGAAAAAGGTTTCATCATTCTTAAAAGATCCATGTTTTTGATTGTTTCACTCTATCTCATTACAATTTGATCCTCAGTTTTTTGTTTTTACTTATAACCTTTTTGCTCATTAGATTTTATTATGTGATCTCAACATTTGCATACATTGTGGCATATTAAAGCCCTTTTATAAGCTACCTTTAAAGAATTAACTAATGACTATATTGGTCATAGGCAATATATTTACACATGCATCATTAACTAAAGGCTAGAATAATAAAAATTAAAGTGCGTAGTGCCTAGTAATGTAAAAGAATCAATAGCGTTCATATAGAATTATGAAGTAAATTATTTTAAAAATCGTTGACTTATTTGAAATTAATTTATTTTTTAAAAATGCATTAATGTGAGTCTAAAATTTTGCATTAATATCATAATCAAGCAATTTTAGTATTTCAAAAATACTTAAATTAAAATTAGTTATAGCTAAGAAATAATGTATCTTCTTTTTTATATATATTGTTCAATAGTAAGTTAACTACACTAATGCTAACCAGGATGTATATTCATCATAAAACTCTAAAGCACTCCTTTGAACTGTCCATTTTGTAGTTTTAAGAAAAAAAAATTCTGTCAAAGCCTCCACCTATTTGTTTGTGAAATGAATTGATCATCTGCTGAGGCAGGGCATACTTTTACTTCATTTATTAAACAAGATTTTAATTCAAGCATACACTTTTCCATTGAACAGTTTAATCCACTCATCCATGTCATTCTTTAATGCCTTCCTTCATTGTCTTCCAAAATTAAATTACACCAGATAAGAGTTGCCAAGTTAAAATAAAGAGCTTTGTCTTTAAAATATCTTGGGACCGACCTTTTAAATGGATTACTCATTACCGAGATTCCCATTCTGTCAATGAGTTATGTTTGGGATTCTCTTTCTCAGCTGTGGTTCTATTGAATTCACATATACTGTAGTTTATATTATTTGGATTCCTACAATAATGTCTTTATGATCCTTGAATGAATCAAGAAATTAATGATGCATTGCTATAATTTAATAGTACTTAACCTCTTTATTTTTTCCATTAGTGGGAATCTTAAAGAAAAAAAGGAATTTTTCTTTTAGGTTAAAAATATTTCATTTTACTTTTTTATTTTTATTATGTACCACTACATTACTTGGAAAACACCAAAGAATATATTATATATCTTCTAAAATATAAATAATGGAAATTGATTGTATTCTCAATTAAAACACAACACTCAGAGAAATATGCAAATGACTCTTAGTTTATACCACTGAACCAAGTTAAAAATATGAAGTAATTAAATTTTTTTTTTTTTTTAAATTATCCTTATTTTAAAAAAAATATGGTTATTTTAAAAGATCACAAAATTACAGCATTTAACTTTAGTTGAATGAAGTTCTTTAATGAATTTTTTTTTAAATCCTTCACATTTTTGGTAAATTCATTCAACATGTTCACCCATGCCCTCTTGGCTGCTTGTTGTTGTTATATCATGGCTAGGCTTCATATTACTAGGTCAATTATCAAAATATTTGTTTTAATATTTGGCATATCTATTCATATAATTTTTCTTTGAGCAGTTGGGGGCAGTTAGTTAGTAAATTATTTTAAGTAAACATTAATGTACAATTTTTGTATGTTTTGTTTTTAATGTGCTCTTATTCATGCTTATCTTCAGATGGCCAAAAATCTTGTGTTCAGCTACTTCTGTGCAATAGGCTGCTTTGGCGGTCTTTATAGGACACAATGTAGAAGCAAAAGCTATTCCACATTTTCTTCACTTTTTTCTTTACTTGTATATTATGTAAAAATGAACGGAATAAAGCAACTTTTTTTTTCTTCCAACATGTATTTGTTTACTTTATTTACTCTTTTTATCAAAGGTATTACTTAATGAGATAAACTTAGTCATCAAATTACTGACTTATTATATCTATGTTAGATACCAAAGAGAGCACAATGAAGGATGCATGTATACATGTTCATCAGTGACATCACATACTGCACAGCATTATGGAAACTGAAAAATGGTCAGATTTAAATGCCCACCATTAGGCTGGCGTGATGTCAATGAGGTTATTTCTACATTTCAAAAAAGTCACTTATAGGCTAGGAATACTTAGGAATTGATTTAAATTGAGATGGTGACAAACAAACCTAAGAGTTAAATGAATATAACAAGGACATCATTTACTGTAACAACACATTTAATGTGATTTCTTCTTATTGTATATTAACATTTTTTATGTACAATAAATGCTGGTGATTAAAAAAAAAACTAATCATGTTACAAATATATTTTATCAAGATTGTTGATCATACATTTATTTTAATTAATTTCCTCATTCATTATACTTATACATAATGATGAATCATGGTACAATATTTGCACAAACCCATTTAAAAGAAATAATACCTTAGCATTCTGTCCAGATATTAACATACGGGTATGTTGACTTGTGACCAGATGTTTCAACCACATGGACATGGTATTTTAATGATATCAATACTTCACTTATTAATCAATACTTAAGCCAAAGGCACTCATTAGATGACTGACCTCTGAGTATAAAAATTAGAATAAGGCCACCACCATATTTGATTCATTTATAGATATCCAGGTCAAGAATGACTCTTGAACCAAAAAGGCTCTATATAGCAATTTTATTGACACCATGCAAGGACCTGCTGCCTTGTGCGAAGTCCATCAACTGGAACCAATGAAACGACTGGAGGGTTTAGTTTGCAGAAACCACCTAATGCCTCAATTCCTAGTGCAAAGCCTGTAGAAACAAAAAGAGAATTATTTCATTTCCAATGACTATTGTTTTTAATCATGCTGCTATATATATATATATATATATATCAGTATCACATCTATGCAGGACACCAATACACGACCAGATATCAAGGCTCACATCTATGCAGGATACCAATACAAGACCAGATATCTGACACATCTATACAGGATACCAATACAAGACCAGATATCAGACACATCTATGCAGGATACCAATACAAGACCAGATATCGGACTCACATCTATGCAGGATACCATAGTTGAACACAGTTGGTGAAAAGAAGATCTTAATGAGCGGCGTCATAGCAATGATGCACCCCTTCTCCAGCACTTTATAATACTCTTCTAGAAGTTCTTTCACCATGAGCATGGTGTCAATGTGCTTGTAATCTTTCAATGAGCCTAAATCTGTCGTCAGGAATTTAGCAACATTCTTAGATTTTTAGATTTATATAAAAAAAGTGGACAAGTTCTTTTAATATGGATAAAAAATGTCTATCTCAATCAAGTATTTATACAGTATGATATATGGCATATATTTTGTTGAAAATATAGGCAAGAAATGTGTTAGAAAAAGGACTTTGACGAAATAATACAATTTTACACTTATGGGAAATACAAATTTGACATTCATTTTTACCCAGACTGTTATTTAATTATTTGTATATTGGTGTCTGGTTAGGTGATGATAACCATGTTACACTAATACATATTCATTGAAAGAACTTCACCCTAACATCAGCAAAAAAACCAAACATTTTACAATAAATACAAACTTACCAATTGTGATATGACAAGAAAACAACTCTGGATTTTCTTTGCAGTAAGTTGCACTAGTGTTTATGGTATAGCTTTCAAATTGTTTACAAAGGCTAATTTCTGATTTCAGCGAGAAGAAAAAGAGAATTAAAATTCTGTAAATTAGAACTAAACAAAATTTTTTTAATAAAAGGGAGCATAAAGACAACAAATTTTAAAACCTTAACTAAATCATATCATATATATATATATACATATATATATATATATATATATATATATATATATATATATATATATATATATATATATATATATATATGTATGTATAAAAGTGAAAGTTTGTTGGTGCGGGCGGTGTTTGTTCCACAAAGGCTTTTACATGGATTGATGAATCTTGAACAAACTTGGCACATATATCCATCGTTATCCAGAAGGAACTCTCTTAAGGGGTTATGAACTTTTTATAACATTCCGTTAGGGGACGGGGGCCCCGGATTCGTTTTTTTCCTTATATGAGCTATATAAATAGCATTAACAACAAATACTCCTACATGAGTAGATGGATCTTGACCAAACTTAGTATACATATACTTTATTATCCATATTCAAATAACGAAGGTTACTGAGCTCATAAAATCCACCCCCTGGGGCTGGGGGTCCCATTTAATTTTACCTTATTTAAGCTATATAAATATAAATACGCTTAGACAATACTATAGTTTCTATGTGAATTGTTGGATATAAGCCTAGCGTGGTAGAAATACACTCCATTTTCCCTATTGAAATATCGGTGGATATAAAAATAATAATATCCAATCCATGCAGGGCAGATCTAGAATTTCCTAGAAAGTTCCATAATTTTAAAAAGCTATATAACTATGGTATTTTTAATCCAATTTTAATGGGACAAATTTAAAATTTTAACTTTATAATTTTTCTGAATGATCGTTATAGGGCCCCCCACCCCATCTCAGACAGTAATTTATTAAATGGGACCCCCCGGGGCCCCCATTTCATTTTAAATGTACTATAGTTATAGTAGTTTAATTAAGTTGTATAATATTTCGCATTCGAGAAAAAATTACGTAGAAAAGTAATTTTTTACACGTTTCATGGAGGATATTAATTTTAGGAGGATATTAATTTTAATCTAGAATTTTCCAGAAGGTTCTTTATTGTTCTACAGGGATATATAATGAGATTTTAAAGCTTATTGAACAAAATCGCACTGAGCATGATCCCATAGAGGAAAAGGATCCTAATGGGGAATGAGATCAAACAGCTGGAACCCATCTGTTACGCGATCCCATCAGGTAACGCGATCAAACCGGGATCTTATTGGGAAACTGGATGAAATTGGAAAAGAGGGTCCCTAGGTGAAAAGGAATCCCATAGAGAACGGTATCCTAACAAGATCAGTAGCCCATCGGGATGCACCAAGATCAGAATCCCACCGGAATTGAGATACTGATGGGATCGGGATCCCACCGGGATCTGGACTCCCCCTGGATCCGGAGCCAAATGAAAATGGAATTCCACTGGGATCGGGACCACACCTGGAAACAGGATTGCACCGGGATCGGCGTCAGAATGGGATGGGGGTCCCACAAGGATCGGGAACCTAAGGCAATCCCGTGCAACGACGGGTATATTGGCTAGTAGTAAATAAAAAGTGGCAAATATGACAAAGCTCTAAGTTAAAACTGAAAAAGAACTGTCTCTAATCCATTTTTTGGTGGGGCAAACGTAATATGGTAAGTTGTAATAGTTTTCCAGTAAATTTAGGCAAATTTCTTCTCTTATCCTCACCAGAAACTTCAAGTTCACCAAATTCAGGCCAGGCATACATTTGCCACTCCACCAAAACACCTTTAGGTAATGCTGGGACAATACAATATTGGACTCTGGGAGTCATCTTAGGCTTATCATCAAAGAGGGACGCCTGCAAAAACATTTAAGATGTTATGTTGAATGGTTCTCATTGAAATAAATCTTAGTTTTATTAAATAGTGCAGTCTGATGTTGTCTCAATATTTTTTTTAAAAAAACAATTCAAACCAATAGACAATTGAAAAATCAATGTAGTTGTTCAAAATATCGGTTGTGTTCAGATCTTTTTTTACAAAAAGTTGTGTATCCCTTATGTAGGAAAAAAAGGAAATTACTTTCTTATTCAATTTGGATATAATAAAACTTGTAATCAGTCATGATAATGACAATAAAACAATATAGAAAAATAATTTCTTTAAAACACATTTTTCAGAAAATTTACTAAAAAATATAAAATAAATGTCTCCCATAACTTAAGTGTTGTTACTGTCATGTGACTTGTAGCAGCTCAATTATAACAATAATAAATTGTTTGGTTATTTAGTATTAACATAATGATTGATATTGAAATGTCATGCACAGAAGAAAGAGAGGAAGTGTTTTTTGAGAAGGACAGGAAGGAAGATATTCAAACGGTTCATTAGGATTATGAATAGGTTGCGCTTCCAAATAAATATGTCATTGTGAGTGTATTAAGGAATAATTGAAGTGTAGAAAGTCATGACAATTATGTTTGGTCCAAACTGGAGATTTATTTCATATTGTGATTTCTGTGAATAAATATAATATAGTGTTGCAATCCATCCTTCCTCATGTTTCAATATAATTATCGTAATAATTATCAGTCACCGCTGCAAAGCAAGATACATATAATATATACGGTTATAAATAATAAGTACTGAAAGAAGAAGAGTGGTCAACATAAGTACTGAAAGAAGAAGAGTGGTCAACATAAGTACTGAAAGAAGAAGAGTGGTCAACATAAACAATAGAAGACATTACATGACTCAAAAAAGAGTAGGGAGTCCATGAATTAGAAAAAGTCATATGACATCCTTGTATTTTATGGGCGCCCCACGCTTTTTCAGTCATATGACTTTAAAGGAAATTGTTGAACAGGGTATGTTAAAGCTTGAAGTCAAAGAACGGGACAATAAAAAGAGAATGTCGTAGCTGCCAGCTCGATGAAGACTTTTCAGACAGAGCCAATAAAATGATAGACTTGTTCTGCTCCAGATCCTACTCCAAGTCTACTCTTGCCTCAGCGCTTCATTGCATCAGTACTTTCACATGTAATAATACATTCAAAGCTCGTCCAAACAAAATTGAAGATGGAACCAGACTGATTCTCACCTACCATCCCCCACAATGTCATTGGTCATTGACAAAAAAAATATTCTTAAAGAATCGTCACATTATTCTTTCTGACCCCAAACCCAACCAGATATTCTTGTACCCTCCATTTATTGTCTTCAAACGGGCCAAAAATCTAGGTGACCTTCTAGTTCACAGTCGCCTTCGAGCCAATCCGCCTCACAGTGGCTTAAACTATGCTCAAGCAGCCGCTGAGGATTTTCCCTCTTTACACAGCACTTCCACCTCAAAAATATCTCCAGAACACAGAGAATTACTGTCACTTGAGTTTTTAATGTATTTCTATGTCTCTGTTGTTTATTGCATTTTGTCTGCTGAAATAGGATTTCAGTCGAAACGCTCCTCTTTTTATTGTCCTTTTCTTTCATTTCCAGCTTTTACATACCTTGTTCAACAATATCCTTCACACGGCTTGAGTGCAGTCCTTCATTTATTATCCATATTACTGTAACAACACCCAAGATTTTGTGGACATTTACTTCAAATATTTTAACACATTTTTGGAAAAGCTTGTTTTTTTTAAAAGTATTTTTAATATTGTTTTATTTTGCACTTTTTATTCAAAGTGTACAAAGTTTCAGCTCAATTGGACATCAGAAAATGGGTCAAAATTGAGATGCAAGATTTGACCCAGATAAATAGACAGACAAAATCACATGCTAAATAAGTGTGTAATAAAAAACAATTGATCAATTTTTCACAAAATTTGTTTTAAAATGTTGATAAGGTTACAAAAAAGACAGACTGTTAACATGATAAAATAAAACAAATGTATTTCTGTTTCATGCTATAAAGGACAAATTGACAACAATTTGATATAATTACCTGTAGGGCTCTTGTCCATTCAACCTCTGCTTTGTCCACATTTTCTGTCTTTGTCAGAAAACATACAGCCAGAGGACAGAACCAAAGACTACAATCTTGTCTGACTGCAGTAATGACACTCTGAACATGTTGCAATGCAACCGAACACTGCGCTTCTATTCCACCTTTAACCACCTCCAAAGTGGCAGGTACAAGGGGGACAATTCCGGCTAAGTACAGTTTATTACCAGTCTGAAGAAGAAGAAATGTATATTTATGCTCCAGTTGATCATCATGAAAATTATTTTTGACTCCCTTAAAGTCTTTGGATCCTCTCTTCAATTCCATTGTCTTAAAATAATAAAGAGCTTTAAGGTCTTTGTTTTATCATTGTTCATTAAATTTTTTCAAATCTGAACTAGCTGCATCTGAGAAGAATGAGCCTCACCACAATGGCTTGACTGTAAGGGCCGATGTTGGCCGGGGCCCAGTGGGATAATGACTGGACATGCATGACATCACGATCCGAACCCTCTTGATTTGCGTCCTTCACACGGCCTTGACAGTCCAGCTGCAAGGCAATATTACGCGGAAGGTTGGCCTGAATACAGAGTCTGGAAAACATGAATTACAATGTAGAAACTAATCAATCAACATGTTTATTCAAACAATTTCGTCCCATCTCAGTTCACAATAAAAAAAGTGGGGACATTTTTATCACTAAATTGTATATTTAGAGATATCTATTAATAATCCCTTTGTAATATATGTAATAATTTTTCATGACCTACCTTACTGGTGGGTTTTTGGAGAAAAATGTCTTATATACTTTGTTAATTTCTAAAAAATTAGCCATGTCTCCGACATATAGTGATACCGAAACAATATCACCAAACGTAAGTTCTCTGCTGTTCAAGCAACCTGAAGTCAAAATTTTTTTTTAAAAAGAACACATTAATTGTATTCCCAAAAATAAAATTAAGGGAACATAATATATGTTTCTGTTCTTTAAACACCATATCATTAAATCTTTCTATAATATATTAAAATTAAACGTTAACTCTATGGAGGTATAGTATAAAAATACATCTAATGTCTTATGTGAATTTATTTTAAGGTCTTGTGAACAATTTTCAACTTTTTCATTTTTGTGATCCTGTAATGGATTTAATTTTTGTTAAACAATAACTATAACACTTTTCAAAAGTTAGTCGTTTCCAACCGAGTATCTTGAGGACAATGTTTAAGAAAAAATTTCCAATACACAAAATATATTAAAATGACATGTTTCAACTGTATTTCTACTGTATCTTGAGAATTATATATCAAAAAGCCTCAAATGAACAAGAACCAAATCTTTACTTTGAAATGTGGACATCGCTTCCAGCACGGCTCCACTGATGTCCACGCCCTCTGAGAGAAAAGCTCTGATACCAGACACAATAAAATTTAATCCATCTGTGCAGCTCACTGGTTTACTCTCTACAAGTATATAAGATATAATTAAAGATTTTTCTCTTGCATTTACAGTCTAAACTTTTTTATTATTCCTCAGTATGTTAGAAGAAAAGGGGACTTAATCTGTTAAAATTAAAATAAAACAAAAATAAAGTTAGAGCTTGAAAAACTTTTCAATATCTTTCTGGCCAATCTCCTCTTTGACATAAATACTACAAAATAATAAGGATAAATGCTTATGTAACCAAAGCTCAAACTTAAAATAACATCTTTAAAAAGATATCTAAGGGGTGCCCAATACTTAAAAATCTAATAGTTAAACATATTTTACTGTCACCTGCAAAGTTAAAGTTACAAAAAAATATAGTCAATGTTAACATGTGAATAAAATTGTTTTCATTTCACAAAAAACAGAATTGAACTTCAACATCTATTAGCATGAACATTACACTAGTATGGGGATAGTGCTTGCCTACTCACCAACAGAATGTATCTCTGGTACACACATGACCATCCCCAGAAGCCCTGAGTCTCCAGCTCCATCCTGACTAACTTCTGCTAGATCATTGGGTACATATTTTTCTACCCATCTTTGGGAAGTCATAATGGGTAACTCTAACATTTTCTCTTGAAGTGTCTTAGTGTCATCCTTCAAGAAATGGGATTTTAGTTTCAAAGTTGAAAATAGTATGTTCTTTAGGATTGATGTTATGATTTATTTATTTGAAAGTGCCATTAAAGCAACTCTCAGAAGAGAAAAAAATGCATGACATGGTACTATATAAACTGCTGATAGTGACACTAAATAAACTGCAGATAGTGACACTAAATAAATTGCTGATAGTGACACTAAATAAACTGCTGATAGTGACACTAAATAAACTGCTGATATGCATTGTGAATAAACTGCTGATAATGACACTAAATAAACTGCTAATAGTTAATAGTGACAATAAATAAACTGCTGAAAGTGACACAGAATAATCTGCTGATAATGACATTAAATAAACTGCTGATGACACTAATTAAACTGCTGATATGCATTGTGAAAAAATTTCATTATTTTGAATGTTCAGAGAATATAGCAGCGTAGAGACTTATTTCTATAAATCAATTTATTTTATACTATGCATATCAAGTCTGCGATAGTCGAATTTAACTCATGCACAGCCATCCAGTTCTGTCCACTGATTCAATAAATGTTACTTCTGCCTTAGATCCAGAGGGTATATTTCAAATCTTCAAATAAAAATTGTTCAATCAATGGAACACTACCTAAATTTCATTATTGTTTGTATCTCACATTATTGGCAGCAATAATAAAGTTTCAGATGGATTCCTAATCAAAAGATTTATGTGTCCCTGTACATTTGTGGCTTACCCAATCTTTGTCTTTCAAGAAACAGTCAGTCAGATTGAGATAACCAACTTTGGCAAAAGCATCATCAGAGTGAATTATTGTGTCAAATTTTTTTCTGAAATATTGTTCAGAGAATAAATAGTTATAAAGATGAAAAAAAAATAATTTAAATATATATATATTATCCTTTTAGCAAAGACAATGCTCATGTAAGAGCACTTTAATCAACAACTAGCAAATATCTGCAGCATGTAAGTTAAGTCATGTACTAGGAAATCATGTCCTTCTTCGGGAAGTTGGGTTGTTGTTTTATCAGAGAAGCACTCACATGACTATTTCCTTTTTAAAGAGAGGGCTGTCGTAAACAAATGTTTCATATTCACCACCCTCGCCGCAGACATTCAGCCCATACTGGGAGTGCTGAGGAAAAAAAGGAAACTTATACAGGTCTGTGAGAAGTGTCATGTTGAGAGAGAGTCACAATAAATCTGTTAAAAGCATTGTATTAATTTCAATTCAAAACAGACTTACCATTTTTAATAAGTGGGGGAAAATTTCTTCAAGGTCCAGACCCAAATGATCCTCTGGGTTTAAACCTGAAAACAATTATGTTAGCATTATTGTGCCCATTTTGTATTTTGTGTACACTATTTCAATGGTAATGCAATTATCAAATTCGATATAGGTTTGTAATACCAGTTAAAATTTCTGGTGAGCCTATGTTACATCAGTATGCACACTGCAATCATATTTATGAGTAACAAAATGCAATAGTAGATTAACTAATAGTACAGCAATGGAGAAACTGTAACTATAAGATTTACAATAAATAGTATACATTAAAACTCAACGGTTATGTCACCAAAATCTTTTATCAGCAGACAAAAAATAAATTAAAATTTAGCTGAACTGTTTCTAAGTTAATTTTAGATCATTTTTATTTTTTATAGTTCACTACATTTTCACCAAAAAAAATTAATTATGATTGCTTTCACCAAACTTATTGTTTTGTCTTAAATCAAGCAAATCCACCCAAAGTGCAATCTGGGCAATCTCCCCTTAAAACCCACCCAATGTGCAATCTCCCCTTAAAACCCACCCAATGTGCAATCTCCCCTTCAAAAAAAATCAAGAAACAATTTCTCAGATATTCACCCATGGCTGCCACTTTAATTATTTTGGCTCTGACTCCACAGGCTATCATCTCTTGAAGCAGCTCTTCTTGATTACGTCTCCAGAGTAAGGCAAGGACTGTGAGCCCAAGACGTTCACATCTGGAAAAAGGGATATTATTATGGGTGTACTTCTCTGTGTTTGAAAAGGGCTTGAGTAACATTTCCATTGTGCTGAGCACTTGTTTTTATTTTCATCATTTTTCATTAAGGATTTCATAAACACTATAAAATGCCACAGACATTTACGATTTGTTTCTGCAAAGAATTTAACTTTTGGGAAGAAAAAAAAACATGCACTACTTACACATTTTCTACTCTTACTCTTTGATAGTCGGAGAGGATAGCGCCAACTGATACAGCTTCAGCATTTTTTTCATCCTGCAAGACAAAAATGAGGCAATAATTTTTGTTAGGCCCAAAATTGCTAATGTAGAGCTGCGCTATAGATACATTTTTCCTGATAGTTATATCTAGGCCAAAATTTAATAATATTTTATGTTTTTCAAATGAAAAGAATTTTTTATTGCAAATCAAACAGTAGAAATAAACATGAATTCTAAATAATAAATTCCAAACTCAGTGTAGAAAGAAAGATAGGTTATTGATTTAAAAAAAAATTAAGTTCATTAAACACTTTTAAAATTATTTTTGACAGTAAAATAAGTGGTTTTTAGAGATAAAAAATTATAATTTTGCGTCGCACATAAATACCCTTTGGGAAATAACAGAAATATCAAGATCAATGATGTACAAACTTTGATCTTCAAAAGCAGCTGATACAGGTCCTCCACCTCATCTCCTGAATTGGGCTCATAGTCTCTGCCTGTACACAAGCTGGAACCATGGATGATGCCTGAAAACAGTTGCAAGTCCATAGCCTCAGCATAGAGATCAACAGCCATGTGACCAACAGTCTGGTACATGTAACTGTCAAGCTCATCTAAAATGAAATCGAAAATGTGTAGTGCATAAATACAGGGCATACCCTTTCCTATGGTGTATGTTCATCACCACCTACTGATGACAGTTTCCACTTTGGATAAAAAGCAGAAATGTTTGCAGATCTCCGTCATGTTTTTATCTCCCTGTCTAGTTCCAGTAATTTTTATTAAAAGGAAAATGCAATACGATGAAAACAAATATTCTTAAATTCATTTATTGACTGATCTATTTTCATTGCCACAGTAAGTAAAGAACAAATTAATGACATATTCTTCTATTAACAAAAACAAGGATAAACTGTGGAAGCCTACTGTGTGTGATATTTAATTACTGGAAAAATATTCATACATAACAACATCACTTCAATAATGAAAAGAGACAAAAATACTACCGGTAACAGCTATGTTTAACATTGTTGGGCCACTTTTGTTCAAGTGCCATTTTTTGCTCAAGTCTTTATAATGGGCAGTTAAAGAAAATACAGATAAGTAAAATCAGACAGTAAGATCCATTTCTCATTTCCATTCATTAATTTGAAGATAAACACCATAGTTTTGCATTTTTCTGTGTAAAATAATTTAATAACTTAGATAATATCATTTACATTCAATGGTGACAAAAATGCTACCTTGGGCTTGGTCCTCGGGCCGAAGGTTAGCCAAAGCAACAATTTCATGACCTTCGGCTATGCAACACATCATGTTGAAGCAACTATCTTTGCCGCCACTGTAAAAGAAAGATTATGACCTGACTGAAGTTCAATAAGTACATCTCCCATATGAAGAATTTGAAAACTGGGATTAAATGTATAATGGTGATCTCCTAATATTGCAGATCACTTGATATAATATTATATAAATCTGAATGTAGATAACCCCCCCATTTTCTAGCCTTTAACTTAACTATGACAAATGAATATTAGGCATAGATAATCATGATACTGCTTCGGAAAAAAAGCTAGTTTTACTATTAGACCTAATACTTGGAAGTTTGCTCAAAGGCATTTTTATGTGAATCCCCAATACTTACAATTTTTTTTTAAAAGTTAACTTCAACTTGTTTTTTGGTTAGAAATGTGCATTATACTAATACTAGTATGCAGTGCTATTAAGAAGCCCATTACTAAGCTGAGTTTGGTCTAGACCAGGGATGGCCATTAGCATGCCAGATGTATCTTAAATTAATTTCAAATTAACTTTATTCTTGATTCCATTTGGAATATTTTAATTTGTGGTATTAACACACATTTAAAATTAATTATATAGGCTATATAAATATAAATAGAGGGCTTTGTGTGATTGTACACCCTTGTATGGGCCATCCAATAATGACATCATGCGTCTAGGGGAGGGCGGTCACATTTTTGTGATGATGTGTGACAAGAGTGAAGTGGGGGTGGGGGGGTGTTAAGCAGGTGACATCACATTAAAAGCGGAACATAATTGAAAAAAGTGCACTTAATAATATTAAATTACAGAAATTTTTAGAATTTTTCTTTCAAAACAATTATAATTATTTTATTTTTTAAATATGATCACTGAGGTCCGGAAAATGTCTTCTGATCAAGTTACGGAAGAGGAGAATTGGGTTGTAGTGACATGGAGCGTCATAAGATTTATGTTGCAACGTGGAGACAGGAGTCATAGAATTAGGGATACCACATGAAGTGGGATGGAACTAAAAAAGGTTGATGAGGGAAGGGGGTGATAGTTGTAAATGTTCTAGGGCAAGGATTCTTACCCTCTTTGCAGTCTTGTATACCTTCTCACAGATTTTTGGGTGGGCAGTGTCAGAGGGGTAGCTGAGGAGGGACAGATGTTCCCGGTTGCCAGACAAGTGGGGGTGCCAAAATGGACTTTGATGATATTTAATGGATAATAATAATGCATCCCGCTTGCATTTTGAATTTATCAAAACAATTATGAGGCAACTGAGGTGTTCCCCCCCCCCCCCCCCCCAACTTTGAAGTGATAGTTTAAAACAGTTTACTTACTACAGTTGAGTTGATGCCTTAGCCTTTTCTTACTCAACTTACTCTAATCTTAGGAACTTATTAAGTTACTTATTAATTTAAATGTATTTAACTTATTACTTCACTTAGTCTTAGACTTGGACTTTTAGACTTAAGAGCTTAATACTTGACACTTTGTTGACTTTTACGCTAAAACTTAAAATTGCCTAAAATTAAAACTAACAGAAAAAAGGGAAGCGTTATCCACACAGCTCTGCGAATAATGTTGAGCGTTATCGGCAGACCGAAATCTGCGAATAATGCCGAGAGTTATCAGCAGACCGAAATCTGCGAATAATGCCGAGCGTTATTGTTAGACAGAAATTTTCCCATAATTACGCACATTTCTAGAAATAATTAAGATCACATTCCAAGCCGGGGTGGGGGTGTAGTTTTAAGTAGTGTAGGAGTAGGATAGATCGGTCGTTAATGAGAATGGCAAAAACACTTTTCAAAACTGAAGCTACCGGTATGCACAAGTTAAATTTTTAAAATTTAATAGGCCTAACTATAGCCTATATATTGGATATAAGACAATTGTGCCTACATCTGCTCTGTTAGGGGTCAACATAGGGTCTATTCGACCTCCAGAGTGTTACTAATAGATCCAGTCAAACCTCCTACTCCTAGACATAAATAATTTTCTGGTATTTCATATTAAATGTTATACCAGTTATAAAAATGGTACCGGTATTCTTCATGTAGACTCACTTTCACCCATTGTAGAGATGTCTTTAAATGATGTCAAAGCTTGATAGGATATCGTTTAGTTTTTTTAAAGCACTATGATATATCACGTAGTCCAGAAATGTTCTGTCAGAAATAGTTGACATGCCGTGCAACAGTGTTATGATGCAGAGAGGTGTCTGCATCAGGCGGCCATGTGAGAGACGGGGAGGGGCATATAGGCCCTACATCGATAATAACAGAATCTAATCCTGTTTAAGTTTAAGGCTAGTATTTTTTCCTCATCCTTGAGGGTGTCCCTAAGTCTACCCAGCTCTGGCCTTAGCTTGGAAAAGTAAAGGTGGCTGGTGTTATTGCGCTGGCCATACACTCAAACTTGTAAACGTTGCTTCAATTGCCCCAAGGCAACTTTACTTCCCCAAGACTCGCAATGCATCCTACGACCAGCAGGGTTCCAATTAATTTTTGTATGCTTTTTTTGTATTTAGACCCATAGTTACAACAGTGGCAGTATAGATTTTTGTTTCAATTATCAACATTTTTTTTGACAAGAGCTAAAATTGTTGATGTCAATGATATTGATATCTTTTAAGTACGGTACCAGTATGTTCATTTCATTGTCATCACTAGGTATTATTTCAACTATTTCTGGAGCGGCATATTGTGTCCCTACTTATTATGATACTTATTAGAAAATAAAATGAAACAAATAAAACGTGACATATTTTTTCAGCTAAACATTAATACACAACTCTGAGATATAAAATATTTGAATATTAATATTTATTTGTTTATTAGAGAAAAAACAAATGGATGTTAAAATTAAAGTCTATGAGTGGAATTATACAAAGAAAATTAAACAGTCAAAAGAGCTAAAAGTATATCACAATGTACAGTTAGAACAGCTGTATCTGACTTAAACATGGTTTATGCGGCTCATTTGCATGTCCATGTTGTTTACAGTTTTTTGACGAAACTTAGAATTAGAATGAAAAGTATAATAAAATTGTATAAATAAAAAGTGTAACATCAGTAACAAAATTATATGAAAATAATAATAATAGTAAAACTAAGGCAAAAATGAATTTTAAAATTTATTTTTCAAGAAATAATAAAACGCACTAAATTAAGGGATTACCATCATATAATAACAATATGCAATACCCATTAAATTAAATTGTTTTTTTTAATTTTATTTAATTAGTAGCATCCCCGATGGGGAATCGAACCCTGGTCTTCCGTGTGACAGGCGGAAATACTGACCACTACACTACCGAGGAGATGCTTACATGCGAACTGTGTATTCTATATTCATAATTTAATTTATCACATTCTGCGAATAACGTCGAGCGTTATCGGCAGACCGAAATCTGCGAATAACGTCGAGCGTTATCCGCACAGCTCTGTGAATAATCACTTCGTAGAAAAAAAAGAGATGATTGACCATGATGTTACCGGGGGTGAAGTTACAAATGTATTATCATACCTAATTAAAGCAATGGTCCTCATTTTTTGCTCTCATTCAATCTACCAATATTCGTACATTGGGGGAAAATAACCGGTGTGGTAGTGTGGTTCCCCGGCAACTGTTGACAATTTTCGTTTTTTTGGTCCTGCTTTTTACCGACATCTGATTTAAGTCCGAGATAGCTGTTTTGCCTCTTGAAAGAATTTGAACACTTATTGGCTTACGTTCTATTGTTGATGTCAACGCCGGCCTTTAGGGTGTGCGACCTGTGCCCTCGCACAGGGCGCCGTGGCCAAGTGGCACCTGGGGAGCCTAGTAAATATTTAAATTCCCTTAGTTTATTATAGTGAAGTTTGAATCTCGGTTCCGGGGTCGAGAAACGTTATTCTTACTTTTCGTACAATCACTTTTCATACTATAAAAGTTGCATTCTTAATTTGGATACTAACGCTGGGGTTGGGACCAACCGAAATGGCGTGGAAATTAATGTATTAATATTGTATTTCCTTGTCCCTCTTACTATTATTTCAGCAGAAAGAATATGGGGAACAAAAAGCTTTCCGGGGCGCAAAATCGCAAGCGCAAAACAGAAAAAGTACGTCGTAACCGAAAAAAGAGCGGAGCCACAAAGGGACAGGGTAGGGGGCGCCGAACGGGTGCTTCACACGGGGCACAAGTTTACTTAAGGCCAGCGTTGTTGATGTAGTATAATCTGAGATTTCAATTAAAAGTGCATACTAAAATATCTCACACGAAAAGTATACAGGATAAAACCTACGCCTAAATTCATGCAAAATCGATTTTTTTCTTGTCAGCGTTGTCGGCTCTGTGCTCATTACAATCAATTTAACTAACTATTGTAGAGTGAAAGTATATTTATAAAAATGTATAGTAGAATAAATACATGCTGAATAATGTTTTGTAATAAATAGTTTTAAAATAAAATATAATTCCAACGTATTGCAATAAAGTTTGACAAATCGATTTTTTTTTTTAATAATTGGGCTAAAATTATATATTTATGTATATAATAATATGGTTGACTTTGTTTCGTGCTTCGAGCCTTTGGGGATGTAGTGTGTTTTTTTCAAATAAACGTTATTATTATTATATAGGTCTATTATTATTAGCCTATACTATTATTAAAGTGGTCTTAAATAACGCGTACCCCAGCCTAGGGCTAGGCTCAGCGCGCTTCACATGAAAACAAGCAAAAAGAAGAAAACAAAATGGCATTTAAAAAACAGTTACATAAAATTATTTATTTAAAAACAGCTGTGTAAAAAATTTTTTACCTCACCCACCAAAGTACAATTGACCCCTGTCTAGCCATGGACGGCACCCAGCAGCCTCGAGCGTTGTGTATCTGTCAGAGGGGGGTGAGAATGAGTCGGAATAGTAGAGTTTGAAGAGATGTGTAGTCTTGAGTGCAGTTTTGAAGGTCTAGACCTATTCATTGTATATTTCCCTTATCATTTTTATAAACGTGAGCATTTCCCCATGTGTTCGTTGTTTTAAAGTGCGGGATTTTTTCTCTGTGCGCATTTTCCCGCCCCCCCCCCCTTTTTTCCCCTTTCCCCGTTTATTTTACTCTGTCAGACTGTGGTCATGTTCTCTGAGTGCTTTATTATTATTATTATGAATGGATTTTTATGTGTGGATCATTATCATGCATATTGGCTTTTAATTGCAATTTAAAACTGCCTTTTCCTGTCATCGATGACAACAACCAGCATAGTTAGTTTATAAAATTAAGGTTTAAATTAAGTTTTAAAAAAGATCCTCACTTAATAAGCTGAGACTGAGATATATACTTCAATATTTAGTAAACAGTGCCCTATTCGATAAATGAAAATGGCAATTTAGGCCTATCATTGAAAATGACAACTAGAGTTTTCCAAATATTACGTTTTTTATTCTGAAAACTTAGGCCTTGGCCCACACATTTTCCACTAATCTGCAACAAGTAATTTTCTACACTTAAAAATCGTTTTCCCATTTTTTCATTTAAAGTGTATAACAAAATAATTAGCTATTATAATATTCGTTTATAGTCTTTTTTTAATTATTCAATTTTTAAATGATAAGTGAATAATGTGCAACGTATATTTAGTGTCATTCTTTAGCGATCTCGTTCCTATAATTCTTTCAACAATTTCCAGACATGCGCAGGAAGTAATCCACGTCTGTCAACAATGTTTCTACTACTGGGAATGGACAAACTTTTTTTCAATCGCTATATTATCAGCTACTTAACAACACCCAGAACTTACTAGTTCAAACTTTTTTTTTCCATTTCACGGCATTTCCGCTAAATTGAATTTATAACCTTCTGAATTTATATTTTTGGAGTTTAGAAATTGAGGTTTTTTTTTATTGCTAGACAATAGTAAATAATAGTTGTATAAATAATAAATTGCTATCGAAACTATGTGGTAACGTCTAAGTCTAAGTGATATTTATGTGTGCAGTTTTCAATGATTAACAAAGCCTTTTGAAGTTTGAAAGTAGGTAAAAAAAATGTCTTGGCTTGCAGCAGTAACAGGAAAAGCTGAAGATTTTCTTAATAAGCTTGATAGATCGGCAGCTGATGTCCTACATGTTGATGATACCAAAACTAAAGAGTGGTCTCCTCCTGACCCTACCATAATTCAGTCTACATTGGAGACTTCATCTACAGCTTCTTTAACTCCATCACAGAGTGTACCAACACGCTTGTATAATATCAAAAGTGAATCAGAACAAGCAGTTGCCACTAGCCCACATGTTAAGACTTCAATACCGGCACAAGCCATTGCCCCATCTTCAGCATCACAAACTTCTGGCAAGTCAGTAAAGAAAAAAAGTTCAGATGAAGCCTTGTTTGATTTTTTGAATAGCAAAGAGTCAAGTGAAGCTGGTAAAAAATTGCGTACACCTGCAAGCAGTCATCATCATTCTCGCCAGTCGAGCACATCTTCCATTGTTTCATCTAAAGGGGCCAAACCTGACAGTGGTACTGCTAATGTTGCTGAATCAACTACTGTCTTTACACCTGCAACTCATGTAAAATTGACAGGTATATTATAAACTATTTTATTCCAGTTACTTAAAACATACGGTTTAGTTAGAAAATTGTAAGTAATTTTAACTAAAGTAATGTGTAAAATGCACTACATTGTCTACATGCAACATTTATGTGTTTTGTATACCTTGCAAATGTTATAATTTCATGTGCTAAATGTAGTTTCTTGTAACTTGTTATAAAGGGTCAGTAATGACTAGCACAGATGATGACAGTGCTCGACAAGATAGCCCCACAAACTCTCACATTTCTGCTGATTTGGATGTCATTGCTGATGCTATGAAGGAAAGTCCAGTGGGAAGTGATCAAAGTGCCCCAGACAGTGACCATGCTGACCTGAGTTTAGGACAGAAGGACAGGCAGCTGTCCTCATTAGAACTCGAGAACAGATTATTACGAAATGAAGTAACATCCCTCAATGATGAAATGGCCAGTGTTATTACAAGAGCTAAAGATGCTGAAACAGGCAAGAGTTTTTTTAAACATTTGATCAGTTTATAAGAGTATAGAAGTATCCAGTATTTGAGAACCAATATATTGATTCATGGATCATAATTTAATTCATATTGTATACTCTAGCTTTTGTATGGGTAAAATTTAATGACAAAAAATTTTTATATATTTTTAGAATTAATGAGAGCCAAAGAAAAACTCAAGTCTCATCTGAACTCTGCATCTATGCATGACCAGTTGGTAAGGGAGCTACAAGCGCGTGAGCTAGATCTGACAGAGGCATTGAAAGCTAAAGATGCTCAACTTGCTGTTCTTAGAGTGAGACTTGATGAAGCTGACAAAAGAGTGATGACCAAAGAAAAAACTCTTGAGGAAGTGAAGCTGGAACGAGAAAGGTGAATGTGGCATAAGAGAAATATTATTTTCTGTTTTATTTTATATGTTTTTTAAATGTTGATGAAAGATATATTTATTAGATATATAATTATTCTCTATTGTATCTATATAGAATCTTAAAAGATCATACAGACTCAAGTGGACTTCATGGCCAAGCATTAGACACCATGAAAGACAAACTGGAGGAAGTAGAGGCAGCTCTCAGGAGAGAGCAAGCTGCTTATAAACAAGCTCAGGTGGGTGTGGGTTGTCAGTTCCGTTTAGTCTTTTTTTTTAATAATCATATTATAAGAGTAATTAATGGTTAGAAAATTAATCACTTATACTATGTCTTATTAAATTTTTGTATACAGTTGGAAGCCAGTCAGCGACAAAGCAAATTGGAACAGGAACAAAGGTCTATGGCAGAGGCATTGACAGCAGCAGAGAAAAAGGTGGCAGAGGAAAGGGGTAAAACAAAATTTTACATTTTAAAAAAAAATTACAGTAGCATATGTTTTATTTTGTTTTATTATCGTAAAGCTATTTCCAATTATTTCTTTTTTCTTTTTAAGTTAAAATTACAGAATTAAGCAACCAGTTAAAGGCATCTAAAGCTGGAGTAGATTCTGCAAGGAAAGAACTCTCAGAGTATAAGGATAAAGCAACAAGAATTCTACAGGTACTTTCAAAACCACTTAATGATAATAAACCCATGGCATTGGTTGACAATATTTCAAATTTAAGTATTAAAATTTTAAGGTTACTTGAGATTAATTGGCTTTTAAAAATCATTTTGCTATGGATTGAAATAATTTTAAATAAATTAAAAATACTAAATAATAAAAATGTTTTTATCTTTATACAGTCAAAAGAAAAACTTATAGCCAGCCTAAGAGATGGGGCTAGTCCAATGGGGGATATGGGAGGTGTGTCTATGCTGGAGCATGAATCTTTGAGGCAAGAGAGAGACATGATGAGGGAGGAGCTGCAGCAAGCAAAGTTGACAGTCGACAACCTGAGAGTGGAGCTTCAGGCATGTCAAAGATGTTTTCTGTTGCATGGTGTTATAAATTTAAACAGTTCCACAATGTTAATAAATAACTCATTTAAATTATTTTTTTGCAGTTCTTCCATCATCATAATTACTTATATGCAAATTGAGATTTTAATAATATTAATAAATATTTAATTTAGGATTTGGAGAACCAGCTTCAACTTGATAGTGACACAGCACAAGAAACCATCAGGTCATTGGAAGACTCTGTGAGGGATGAAAAAAGACGAAGGGAAGATGCAGAGCAGGAATTGCTAAAACAGAAACAGGTTAATTTTATTTTTGAAATATACCATATGTATGTGTAGACCAGGTGTTTGCACATTATCTCTTAATTAATTGAATCAAATTCTGAAACCCTTGAAAAAGAATCAATACGATTTTAATAAATTATTTTCAATTTTTACGAAGTATGAAAATCTTTTCGCTGGTATAAAATTTAAATAATTAGTGGTGAAATAATGATTCATTTTTACATTTTTTTACAGGAACTGCAGTATACTTTGGAAGAGCTTCATAAACAAAAGACAGTATTCCAGTCTCGCATCAGTGATAGAGAAACAGAAATTGAAAAATTGCGAAATCAGGTAGGTCAAAATCAAAATTGAATCATCCTTTCTAGTTTAGTTTTGTAATAAGAAGTAATGGGAGGGATACATATCAAGCTACATTATAAGTCTTCATTGTCGTAGGAACTGTGGATGTTTTTACATTGATTTTTGTTATAACTACTTGTTTGTAGTGATTCACTAAGTCGTTGTGAGATTTTATTTTAAAAAATCACTAATCTAAAAACCGGTGATATATATTGGAAAATAAATAATAAAAAAATTATTAAAACTTGTTATTATTATTATTTAATACAGAATTTTTTTCAACCTGAATTAGTTAATGCTGACACTCCATTTAAGAAGTTAAGGACGGTAAATATATTTCAGTGTCTTAAAGATCTGTTTCAATATTTAGTTTAAATGGGTTCTGTCTTTATCAGCTGATGACTAAGAGCATGAGTAACAGTACAGAGAATGAGCTTGAGTCAAGGGTGCGTTCTTTGACAGAAAGTTTAATACAGAAGCAGACTGTGTTAGAAGCACTGAGTACAGAGAAAAACTCTTTAGTTTTACAGCTAGAGAGAATGGAGGTAAGACGTTTACATTACTCAAAGTAAAATCATCCTTTTTGTTTTATAGATTATGTTCATTGCAACTAATATGCATACTCCAGCCTAGCGGTGAGCAACTTTTTAGTGCAGAGTGCCCCTTGGAAATTAATATTTCTTTGGCAGACCAAATGATGATTTGCTAGGAATCTGGGTCTTCTTGTCTAATCTAGACAATAAATTGGAAACCTAGAAGTGTGTTCTGAACTGGATTTTTTATTGTGTTTTTTTTTTGTGTGTATGGAATAGTTATTGATTGTGAGTTGGTGAATAGTTTTGTAAGGGGAGTTGTAATTAATCGGATGATGCAAGGTCAATAAACAAGTGAGTTGTTTCTGTGGGAACACAGGGTGGCGGTTAGTATGTGGTGTTATTAGTGTTATAATTGGTATGTTGAGTTATTGTTAGAGTGTTTCCAGGTATGTCAAGTTCTGTTGAGGATTATGTTCGTTATCTTTTTCTTTGGATCTTTTTGCACCATCATACCATTTTCTGTACTATGATATCATTTTCTGTACTATGAAATCATTTTCTGTACTATGATATCATTTTCTGTACTATGATATCATTTTCTGTACTATGATATCATTTTCTGTACTATGATATCATTTTCTGTACTATGATATCATTTTCTGTACTATGATATCATTTTCTGTACTATGAAATCATTTTCTGTACTATGATATCATTTTCTGTACTATGAAATCATTTTCTGTACTATGATATCATCTTCTGTACAATGATATCATTTTCTGTAATTTGTGTACAGAGAAGGAAATCAGACAGTGTGTCAGATTTTGTAATAAGTAAGAAACCATGTGTGGCAGAAAAACCCTGAGACAATTTTAGCCAATGAACTGCCTGTAAGAATACAAGGGGATTTCATAACACAGTGGAATAATTTAAAAGTTTGTTGGGATTATTATTATTACAATTTAACAATTAGTTATTGTATTCAGTGATTATTAATTTTCGAAGGCTTTCACAATTTGTACATTTTTTTAAAAACACTAGCTAAATACACTTTCTATGCTGTTAGAGAGAATTACAATTATAGTAGGATCTAGTTTTCTCGGTCTGTTCTTTCCATGATTCAGTAAGATTAGAAGTCTGAATCAGAACTTTTCTTAATAATGTCTTTGGAGCTTGGATCACGCTGGGGGATGTTGATGCAGTAACCAACTTCTTCATGGCAGAACATAAGATTTAAAATCTTTATGTGAGGACTGTGATCATGCAGGATTTGTTTAAGCTGACAATCAAAATATGTTTCTGATCCTCAGCCATTCCTTAATCCACCCCAGCCATATTAAGAGACTGCCCTTTAGCTTTATTTAATTATCATTGCGAAGCAGACTTTGACAGGAAACTCTAGTCTCTTAAACTGGAAGTGGTAGTTATGATTAAAGTGTGAAGGAACTCTACTGGGTAATGAGCCATGTCCTCTAACTTAGTCCACAGGCTGATATCTCAGCAGGAAGTTGATCAAATAAAGAAATACTGATGGTTCCGTCCTAATTTCACCGTTAAATCCCAGCTCGGCCCCAGGGTGATTTTTGACAACTCTTGACATAATGTCACCAATGCCACTGATCTTTCATTTCTCTTACGTGCCTAGAAAGCTGCACCTTATTCCTCCTTCAACTGGTCTTACTTTAGTGTGAATTAATTAATGTTTATACTTTATTAATATTTGATTTACCATAGACACCTTTAAAAATGCCAAATACAGACACTTTTAGGCCACTTAAAATAAAAGATTGATTTAACACACAAATAATTGTCATTGCACACCTTGAGTATAAGAGGAATCAATAAGAGGTGGAAAAATTCAACCCCATGGGGCATGTAGTTCCAGTGATCAGTGAGTGGGTTGTATTTGGCTTTTATTTATATATATATATTTATATATATATATTTATATTTNATATATATATATATATATGTATATATATATATATGTATATATATATGTGTGTGTATATATATATATATATATATATATGTATATGTATATATATGTATATGTATATAAAGAGAGAGAGAGAGAGATAGATTGATCCACTTCCCAGAGGGTATTGCTGGCTGCATTAAATGTTTCAGCCAGCCAAAAATGGCCTGTGGGCCATAGGTTGCCCACCCCTGCTAAAGCCTCACCATTGTGCCCCATATACACACATTAGAGATAATTAATAATTTTAGTTGATAAACAATTTTTTTTTCTTTTTTAATTTTTGTTTAAGAGATTGCTTCATTGTTGTTTTTTAAGATATTCTCTTTCTAATAGGTAGTCAGAAATATTTAAGTATATAATTAGATAATAGACCTTTAGGCATGAGGAGTAGGGTGGGAGATGAAGAGGGCTTCCACCAATGTTTTATAATAAATTTGTAAATTATGTTTGTGTCGATGATGCAATATTGGGAGTTCATCCCACATCCCATTTAGTCAATGTCCAGTGTAGGTTATAGAAAGAGGTGATGTGGACTGTGTTATTTAGATTTTTTCAGACTGAAATAACGGTTCTTAAAATAATTTCTTTTAAAAAAATGTTAACATATTTCACTGGTTAATTTTAACTTAATGTAAAAAATCACCTACTTGGGATATCTGTGTCAGTCAGGTGCATGTACTTGATACAAATGTATTTGGGATATTTAACTAGGATTTGAGCCTGAGAACTTTGCCTCAGCAATATGCCTGAAATAAATCCTCAGTGAGAACATGGCTGAACATTGCTATCTCTTTGGTCCCTTTCCTGTTTGTTTCTGTTATTAGTTGCAATGTGTTTGGTGTGTACAGAAATTTACTTTTATACTTTTGACCTATCTCCCTTTTGAGACCTTTCTTTTAATGGACAAGAATTACAAATTTTCTTCTGTTTGGTCACTTCAATTTTATCATTTATTTTTTTCAGCACCAGTACAGAGAGCTAGAAAATGCCATCCCCCGTGTTGCATCTAGCACACAGTTGGTGGCGGTAAATGATCATGATGATGATGGTAGGTTTATTTCATAAGATCTTTAACCTCTTGTGATGGCTGGACCAATCCATCGGCCCAGAGGGAGGTGGTAAGAAAGGCATTTTATAGCATTTGTTTGATACCTATTATTGACCCCTATAAATGCTACTTAAAAAATATGTGACCTAAAAATATGCCAAAAGGCATAAGCACCTACATTGGAATATTTGATGCAGTTTTTCCACCATGAATCTCATTCAAGTGTTTGTTAGGACTTATTTAGGCTTCAACAATCAGAAGAAAATTTTGCAAGGAAGACAGTTTATTCTAAGTGTAAAAAAAAAAAATTGCATGCATACATTATGCAAATCAGGATATCTCCTTTGCATACATGCTGCAAAGTAAGTACAGGGCTTGTGAAAAAGGCTCCGTCTTCTTGGCACCAACAGTCCAAAAAAGCTGCGTGTCAAGAAGGTTAAATAAATTGAATTTACCTAATTTTTAAAAAATGAGATTTTGAGAAATGAAACGATGCATATTAAATATAGTTATAATTAATACATTTTAGACTGAAAACACTTTGTGGGTGTAATAATTTATTTTTAAATGATTTATTTCAACAACAGTAAGGCAAAGACTACCCATGTTCCTAAGGGAAGTTGCTACTGACCATGAAGTTACAAGAAGAATGAAAAGAGCAGCAAATTCAATTGATGGAGTTAGGTAAAAGAGAAAGAAATGTGTATTTTTGTGACAAACGCTATTTCTATAAACATATTTTCACATCTACATGGCATTAGTTTTCCTTTTTTTCTTTTTTTTTTCAGCATACGACTAGGTGTCTTTCTCCGCAGGTATCCAATGGCCAGAGTTTTTGTAATAGTATATATGGTAAGTCATTTTGTTGGGGGGTCTTTATCAAATAAATTTATTTGAAGAATGATTGTATTTTCAGTGTACATTAAACTTAAACAGAGTGCCCAAAGCTAGTCATACTTCTAGTTCTATAGTTCCATTACTCAAATTGTCTTTTATAAGTATTTAAATGCAATGCTGTTCAATCATTTTTGAAAGAAGTAAAAACACTACTTTTAACATTAACAAATGATATCCTGGTGATAATCAGTTACTTGCTGTTAAAGGTTAATATAGTCATTGTTAGACTCTACGCTATAAGCTGGTCTTGTTATCAACTTTAGTTCTTTTTATTTAAAAAAAAAAAATTGCCATTAGATAAATTTACTGCCACCAGTACTACTTTTTTTAGCTGAATATAAAATAAGGTCACTTTCAATTCAGGCACTGCTGCATTTTTGGGTACTGGTTGTCATGATGACATATCAGCCAGAGGTTCATGGCACAGACTATCAACCTAAGCCACCAGACCCTTGATGTGCTGTGCTGCTTGGTGTTCTTGTAAATAAAATGTTATCTGAATACATGTATATAATAAACTGGTGTGTGTGTGTAAATGTACATATTTTAACGACATATTTAAAAATGATTGTATAAAGAATGATTGGGAAGGCCCTGACATTATTTGCTTACCCAGTTAGCTATTGAGTTATGGTTTTAATATCTTTCTACTTGAAAAAGAACAATTAAATCAATCTTTGTGACAGTGATGTATTTAGGCTTCTGTTGAAATTTTTTATATGTATATATATTATTATTTTTTGTTTTTTTAAAGTGTTATTTTATATAAAACTGACAGAACTTGAGTTCTATTCCAACATTTCATCTCCTGTACATCCTAATATATATATTTCACAGATTGATTTATTGTAATGACTTTGGCATGGAAGCTTACCGAATTGGCCAGGAAATTTCCCATAATAAGCTTAGCGTCAATTTAAATTTAAATTTTGTCTTATTGATGATTGCCATTGTACAATCATAGACCTATGGTTGTAAACAAGTGCATTTCATTAACTAAGGTTGAGCTTGTAATGAATAGCCTTGAGAAGGCCTGTAATGCAACTATTTTTTACTTTATTGCTAATTAGCAATATTTATAACAAAAGTTGAAGGGAACAGGTTTAATTATTATTTTTACGAACCATTAAACATTTTGGTCAGGAAGTTTAAGTTATGAATGAAAAATGATTGCTTGCAAAAATATATTTACACTGCATATATTTTATTTTAACAGAGCAGTTATTCAATAACTGAAATTTTGCATTATCAAACTTTCTTTTAATTAGTGACTCATTGTTTCATTTTGTGTTGGCCTTTACAGATCTCTAGCAAAATATATCTTTTAGGAAATGTCTTTTAAATATGGATTTAAATGTAAACCAGATTGTTTCCATAGGCTATTATCAGAGGCATAGCTAAGTGGGGCAGAGGGGAACAGATGTCCCTGGGCACCAGACTAGCTGGGGTGCCAAAATGTGCTTTGATATTATTTTATTGATGAAAATAATGGGTTTGGGATTTGAAAAAAAAAAGAAAGGCTCTTTAAAATGAATCTTGTCCCCGGGGGCCAAACACTCTAGCCACGCCTCCGACTGTTATTATCTGTAAAGATTTAAACATATTTATTAATCCATGAATTTTAAAAGAGCAGTTGCTAATTATGAATAAAGCATTTAAAATTGAATTTTTTATAGTAAATATCACACAATTGTATTGATCTGTTGTCTTTCATAATTTACACATTTATAATAAATCATTTGTCTTATAGTTCCATTTCTGTTTTACATTTATAAGTAAAATTTCTTTAAATCAGTGGAAATCATTTTCAAAGTTTTCAGCTGTTGGTAGCCAATTTAGCTTGAAGTGTTAAAAATATTTGACATGTCTATTAATCCAATTTTTTTCTGAATTCAGCTACATTGCATTTAGAAATCTCTCATGGTACCAGACAACTAAACATTCACATTGGACAAAAAATAAAAACAAATTTATCTGAAAGCAAGAGATAAATTGTATGTCTTAAAATCTTGGTGTTTGTGATGAAATAATGTTAATATCACTTAATGTCCCAAAGTTTTAATTATATGACATTTATGTGAATTGATCATAAAGAAAACTTTATGAATAGTCGCTGATATAAAAAGAAATTTTGCTTTAATTTTAAGGCTTGAAATTAAGCTGTGCCATGTAAGTTATACATTTACGATGTAAATACTGATTAATTTCTGAAGGATTTTCTATGTGATTCATAATGACTGGTTTGTAAGTAGTAAATTATCAAATTTAAATTTAAAATATTTTTTTAAAACAATATATAATATTTTAATAAAGTCTTATTTTTTAACATGATTGACTTTTAAAGGGATAGTTAGGGATAGTGCTAGACAATACAGGAATACCTCAAGTGTTGGCAGCATGCTAGAAACACTAGGCTGGTCACCATTGGAGAAACGACGACGACAATCCAGGCTCTCCATGATGTACAAGATAAATAATGGGCTGGTCCACTGTTCCAGTATTAAACAGAAACTCGTCCCTCTCCCCCATAGACAGCGACGAGGCCATGACAGGCAATTCAGGCTCATACCAGCAAGAAGCCAGTATAGGAGCTGCTCATTCCTGCCCAAGACAATCAGGGACTGGAACAATCTTTCAAAAGGAACGGTTGAGGCGACAACACTAGACACATTTGTGTCTATTGCCTCAAGCCTTCAAACCCCCAGTGCATGATTCCCTCACAAAGTGGCACTGGAAATCTGTGAAATTTCCTCATCAACACCAGGAACAGAAACATTGCAAATCCCATCTACATGCATAGGAGCCAAAATGATCAATAAATTGATCGTGGGCCCTTAAGATATAGAAGAAGAAGAAGAAGGTTAATTTATATTATAATTTATATTGTTGTGAACAAAAAAATATTGATTGATTTGAAACAAAACTATAAATTATCACCATAATGTGTCCTTTGTGATATAATGGATTTAATAATCTCATTAATCTAATAATGCATGTGATCCCTCTTTTTTTTTTTTTTTCTATCTAACCTTTTAATTTCTTTTAGTGTAGAAAAATACAACTTTTTGCAAAAGGTTTGTTAACTGACCAATCTATCACTGCATGAGGTGATACAACAGAGGTGGGCACAAACTTTTGTGCGCCAAGGGCCGCAAGGAATTAATTTTTTTTTTGGTGGACTGCTTAATAATTTTCAAGGAATTAAAAGTTCTAGTGCTAGACAATACATTAAATTGATAAGATATTTTTTTAGATCCAAATAAATGGAATTTTGTTGGGGTTTTTTCTTTCATCGTGCACATATTTTTGAGGCTTGGTTGTTCCTTAAAATTTGTAGCAAGACTTTTGTCGAATAATTGTGCGGTATGAATTATTGAGTTCCTGAGTTGTTATTTTGAGTCTTGGCTTTAAACTGAATTATCTTTTTTTTTTTCAAATATCATAGACACTCCTTATGTCTGTAGACGATTTGTCTTGGGTGGTTGTCATATGCCATAAAAGATCATTAGGAATGAGAAAAAAATGAATGGTACGACTCAAAAAGATACCAGATAAGCCTATCACACCTTGTGAAGGGGGTTGAAGTGGGCTCTTGCACCAAATAGCATTTTTACTTGTACTTTTTTCTATATATGAGGCATTGAGGGACGTCACTTTCAGACTTTGTCCCAGGCGTCACTTTTCTCCGGCACTGCTTTCTTCAAATTTGATCTGATCAGATTCATTGTCTGTTACTTGTGACTAAAGCAAGACCGGCTTTTTCAAACAAATTAAAAATAAATTTACAGTGAGATGACAACAAAAAAATATTATTGTAGTCCATAAATTGAACCAATTTTAATGAACGTTGAGCAAAAGTTGATCCTGTTTAAAATTCTCTCCAAGTCAGTGATTTGCTTTAATTCTAATTCAATAAAATCAAATTCATTCCAAAATTACCATGTTTTGTCTGAGCAAAAGCATAGTCAGGTTCTGACGCCTGGGGGAGTGCTAATTCCCCTCACTCCAAAATAATAAGTTCAACTCGTAAAATTGATTATGATTGAATAATGTAAAAGTTAAAAATAAAGGAAATGTAATGACATGGGTTTAATTTTGTATTTGGAAAAACTTAAATTAAAAAGGGTGACAGGACTATCACTTTGAATGGAGGGGGGAAATAGAAATCAAGGGGGAAAAGAGGGATGATTTTTTTTAAATACATTTTTGATAATTCAAAATGCAGGAATCCATTTTGGCCTATACGTAGGTGTCCATTGTTTGTTGTCAATTTTTCTCCTGTTTTTTTAAACTTTTGTGCACTCTTTTTTTTTATTATTATTATTTTATAAATAAATCAAATTATTTTCCTAATTGTGAAGAATCCAAACAATAAAATTGATAAACTTTAGATCACACTCGTTGAGCCATTGAGGATGCAATTATTTTTACACATTAGTTTTACACAGTGAGCAAAATTGCTGATGTTTACCGTGGAAGAGAGCTTGGATATAAAGTGCTATTTTTAGTAGTTATATCCTAAAGGCTTACTATATCACTGGACTTGGCTCTGCCAGATTTGTTCAGGAATTATGGGTATACTTTAATATACATTATTGAAGATCGGCTTTGATAATTCACTTCCAGTTCAGTGATATAAGCAAATATGCAGTACAATATTTAAAAAAAATTACCTTTGATTATTATAGGTTGACAACTTTGTACTGAAATTATAATTTTCAAGGTCTAATGCAAACCATTTGAAAATTTGTATATTTTATGAAAACATTAATCCAGTCCCTAGAATGTCTTCTTGTCCACATTGTTGCCCGCTGGTACAATTTGCCCACCCTTGCTCTCTAATGTGAGCTCTTTTACTTCAAAGCTCTTTTACTTCAGTTTAAAGAAAATATTATTACAAAAAATACTACCTCTGCTGGATAAATGATAAGTTTTCAATTTCAAAAATTTATTTCATTAAAAAATACAGAAATTATTAAAAAGACAAACTGACAACATTTTTGCATGCTGTAGAACGATTATTTAGAAATAATGCATTTCAATTTAAAATTATTGCACTAAAACACAAAACCTACACCACAATCCTCAACTTTATATTTTTTACATTCCTATAACACTCTTGACCATGATGATATGCTTTCAACTATTTGATTTTTTTTGTTGTTTTTTTTGTTTAAATCACTCAGAAATATAAAAATGGCTGCCCTGAACTATTAGTTGAGAATTAGTTTATATATGGATAAACATATCTTAAAAATAGCGAAATGTTTCTTGTGACCAAAATATGTAAAAATTTAAATCAGTGGACTTCACTGTTATTAAAATAAAAAACTAAAGGTTAAAATATAGTTTTGTCAACATGATATTATAACCTCTTTTTTATGATAAAAAAAAGTGTGGGAAATGTGAGTTGTATGTGATAAGGTGAACTGAGGTTTAAGAGTTTGTAAGTATGGTATAAAAAATGTATGAGTCTTAGTGTTTTCCATATATGTGTGGTACTCAAAAAAACAAATTTACAGTGGGAATATTTTCAATAAAACTTGGCTTTGTTTTAAAATGTTGCCTGCTTCAATTTCAAAATGTGTATCTACTTGTAAAAGTAAAAACAGATTGATTGTTGTTCTTAGTTTCAAAATAACTTAGTTTTCATTATTCTTAAACATTTTATTCTATACTTAAAACTTTATTCCCATAATTTACCTGAATTAGAAATAGTTTTACAAAACTGAACCCTTGTAGTACTTGAAAAAAAAAAGGGGTGTGGGGGGTGGGGGCTGTGTGAAAGCCTTATTACATTAATTTAAAGAACTTTTAATTGAACAAATATTATTAATATATAAGGGGTTCAAGTGTCCAGACTTTCAGAGCCGAATTTTGAATATTTTAGGTTAACAATTTAAGTGTAAAACAGTATCACCGGTAAAATAGAATCAGGGCTCTGTCTTTTTTTTATGATGCAAGGGTTCCATTTTTAAGTTTGGGAACCCTGCTTGAAATTTAACGTGTTCAAGTTGATTGGTTAGGATCTAAGATGAAATATTATTTATCAAGTCTGGTCTTTTTACTTATTTTCCCAATGTTTCACATTTCCAGAGACTCTTTAATTTTAATAAAGGCTAAGGACCCATAGTATTTTAATTGTGTTTAGCACATGATTAGTCATTCAAAACACTTACAACAACATTGTTTTGGGTCACCAGATTTATATTTATCTTTCTCAAAATCCACTGGAGAATTATCACTATTGTTCCATACTCATTCCAACTGAAAGACCAGGACTTGTTTGGGAAGACAATTTTTCAGATGTTTATTTCTGACAATCAACATAAAATAAGAAAGTTAGGCATAACAGCTTTTGACAGTAAGGTACCACCAAAAAAGGAGGGGTAAACTTGCCACCAACAAAAAATGGTGATAATGGTTGGGTCTATCTATAATTACAATATTACAAGAATAGATACTTAAAACAGCCGTGAGAGGATATAGACATGTAGTGCAGACAAAGCGCCCGTTGTATAAAGTACTAGAACTAGAACGATATAAAATATAAGATTTTATCTTTTAATTTATATTTCAGTTCTGCATCAGGAAAGGCCTGCTAGTTAAGTAATATTAAAAGTCATTTGAAAGATTTGGAGTAATAGTATTATTAGCTGCAATTTATCAACAGCAAGATTCAGCAATTGATTTTCTTTTAAATTATGAAATAAGTAAACAAAATAAAAACTGAATCACATTTTTATAACTGAATAATTCTTAAACCAAAATCTAACAAGACTGATTACTATATCAAATACACCAACTTGGCCTCAATTATTTTTAAATAGAAAAAATATTCCTTTCCTAGATTGAATTAGTGAATTAGTAAACAAGCCTGCAAAACATAACTCAAACATTTATCTGCAATGCTGTCTTTTTTTAAAGAGTTTCTGAATAATAAAATTGGCTAGTGCTAGAGGCATGTAACTAGATTAAGTTAACAGTTAAAATAATTGACTTTCTCAGAAGAAAAGGGACTGAGAACAAAAATGATTACACCTAAATATAAAATTACACAACTGTGGCAAATGCATGCGCAATGAAGAAATTATAACGCAGGATACCATCTCAGTGCAAGTTTTCTTCAAGGTCATATTTTTATACACCACCTTTTAATTGAAGCATCTTTAGAGATGACCAAAATAAAAGTAATAAACAATTGTTTTTGATTTGTTGTCCAAACATTTCAATTCTTAAAAGTGTTGTTCTC